TCTTGTGTCTGTGTGGCATTGTGAATTGATTCAATATGGGTTGAAGAAGTAACTGAAATGAAATACGTAGCACGTGCTAAGCGAAAACTTTAGACGAAATCTAAGCTTTCAGGAAATTTAATATCCAAAAACAGCATAAATTTTCAGTATTCTGTTTGATCATGGAACTCGGAAACGGGAAATAAGTCTGTCATTAGACAAGTAAAAAATGTTGCATGGGAGAGTTTCTGGCAGAAAATAGCATATAAAATGAAAAAGTAGCAGGATGAATTTATAATCGATGGCTGATTTGGTACTACTCATATGAAGTGAATAATTTACAGGCCGCTATATTTTCTCGTTGCTCTGTGGCCATACGTATGTATGGTTGATATTTTAGCAGACGTAGTGCGCAAGAGCACTTAAATGCTGTGAATGCTTGTTAAATAACCATGAGAACCAATTACAATCGTAGTTTATTGACTATTTGCATCAATCGAGCGAGTTAAGTGAGTTCGAAAACTAATCGAAAATCGCAAAATGTCAATACATATGAGCATTAATCAACAGACTTACAGTACAATGTTTTGCAATAAGTAAAAAGTAGTCGACAAAGTTAGAGTGGATATGAGAATTAAAAATAGCTTGAGTCTGTTTAGTCGATCTCACCAAAATTAGAATAATGTTCATTTACGGTTATCATAAGTCTGGCCCAAAAATTGTTGATTTGTCATGATATGACAAACTTAGCCATGAGGTGGTTGTCTATACCGACTCATCTTATTGTGATATCCACCACTATGACCTTTAGGACCTCTAAGCTAAGGCCTGTTAACGAGACACAGTCAGTTGATCTACTCGTGACCTTCAACCAAAACGACGGGGGAAACGAATATCGGCTGAAGTACCAAAAGTTTATTCTCAACTCACAAGTAGTCAACGGAAATAAATTGTCAGAATAATAATTGTAGGAATTACGAAACAAACCGTGAACTTTTAAAATGCCAAACCTAAAACAGATTGAAGCCGGAAATATCTGAGTTCAAAGTTACTAAATAATAGGTTCAAAGGTTGAGTAAAGCATATTTATCCAAAACAGAGATATTACAGAGTCCATATACCAATTCTTCTTGTAACACAAGAATGAAATTATATACTCATTATGAAAAGGAAGTATTTATATGAGGTGATCACGCCTGTAGGCAGTAGCCATGATACTATGAATAGATTTTTCGACGTACGCCAACTCATATCTTTTCTGAGTATTAAATGTTAAATGCGAACCTTCACATTTATTGTGTATTCGGCATAAACGATCTTGTGGTTGAGAAGCAACACCGTAACGTGATCAATCTATGTATCATCTTGATATTTGCACCAAATATATTGTTATATCACCAGACGTAATATATTCTTTAAAGGTCCGTGAAAGCAACCTACGAGTGAAGACAGATCACTCGCAAACAGTCTGGTGAGGGTCTCCACAACCAAACCTAGGTCACTAATTATTAAAAGTTGCTAGAAGAACTACGGAAATCATTTTTGTGGGATGGTGACATTATGGCTTCAAAATCTCCTAAACAAAAATATCTTATTGTTCATCGTCTTTCGAAACTTGACGGAAGAAACCAGCTTTTTGGAAAATGTGACTTCATGTACTTTATAGAATCCTAACAAATAAGCCATTTTCGTAAATCAAACAATGAAGTTTTGAAGTTTAGTTTTCCTAGATATGTTAAGACGAAATGATGTTTCACTTTTGCCGTTCAACACAGATCTAACTCAGCCACCAGTCACACTAACTTCATTCAACAACTTTTGTAGTATCTATTGTGGTTGTGTCGAATCTACTGTTGAAAACTGCAAAAGCTGGATATTCTAGATATGTACTCATATCTACTTAGTTTTCTGCAACACTTATGTACCGATATGGTAATTGTGGGTAATAATAAATGTACTGCTGCTCTCCATCAGAATTTGGTTTTCGAGAGTAGGCTACCATTTGACCTGCATTAGTGTGCGGTTGCATTATTATTGTTATATTTTTCTCTTATTACAACCCAGCTATTCTTATTGTTTAGTATTCTTGGACTCCAATTTACTCGACAAGTCCCTAATTCAGAACACGATTGAATAGTTAAGAAATTATACTCCAAATAACAAGGGTAGATGGAAATAGAAAGCACAATAAAAAACCATAACATAATTACAGTTTTTATGTGAAGAGGTTCTAGAGTCTTCTCCAAGTATCGACTAGCGCTGATTGGTTAGGAATTAGCCAGTCAGCATGCACCAACGCAACCGTGCATGAAGCATGCTTTAATCGAATTTAAATCCCGCTAACACTTACCTTTAAGCGTTTAAAAGTACTCAGGCTTCCGATGACAGACTGATTTTCCTGCTCTCCAGACCTGCAGAAGTATAGAAGAAAAATATATTTTAATGTAAGAGACGGAATATGCTTACTGAGACACAAAATAAGAAAGATTGGTTTAGCGACTAGTTCTTTTTTCGGTTAAGTAATTCTCAAAGCTGCACATTCACAAGCACATACTTAGTTTTCAGAATGATAATAATTGCAACAATAGTGACATCAAAAATTTGTTAAACATGGTGACAGTGAGGCAGAATAGACGAAGACACACAAACACTATTTTTATTAAGGAGGCTATTACCAATTATGTTGTTTACCACTACTGGTCCAAATAGGCAGTAAGCTTGCTGATCATTAATACTTTACCTATAACTTCTCCTCAGATGGTGGTCTAATGGGCCTAAACCTGATACCAGAGTTTCATTCAAGTCAAGAAATGAGTTTTTGCGACATGAATAACTCCTAGGAATTAGTTTTGATCGTTCCAGACCGTGGGAAAATCCAAGACTAATAAACTCCAAGAAGATATAAAGCAAACCTGATAGGAAGCCTGCTTCATTGAACTCCTTACTTGTGAATTTTCCTTGTAAGTTTCGCGTTGATACTAACGCGCGATTTTGAACGGGAAGTTCAGTCCTAACGTGATTTGCATATATCAAACTTTTGCTGTGTTCTTACGCAACAGAAGTACCATTTCAGTTCTAAAGAATCTATCCTGAGCTATACGTTCGATAGATTACTTTTTTTTGAGTTTCACTATATTTAATAGTTACCTGTGGTTTTGCCTCAGCTTACTATTCGGGTTTTTATCGTTTTTCACGTATAGACCTAAGCGCTGACTTGGTGTTCCAGAAATTGCAGCACTTAAGACTTGACACTTCTCCTGGCCCCGATATGGTTCATCCTGCCATACTGAGGGAGGCAGCCTCAATCCTGGCAACGCCGCTTAGCGTGATGTTTTCACACTCGCTTAGCCGAGGCAAATTACCGGAAAATTGGAAGTTGGCTCACATCACACCAATTTTCAAAGGTGGTCGACGCAATGAACCTTCAAGTTATCGGCCGGTGGCTCTTCTGTCATTACCTTCAAAACTCATGGAGTCCCTGATATGCGACGGTTTAAACGATTATCTACTGTCCTTAAATTTCTTCTCACCCCAACAGCATGGTTTCAGGAAGGGTTACTCTTGTATAACCAACCTGCTGACTGCGGTGGACAGATGGACAAGCATCCTCGATTGCAAGGGAAAGGTTGATGTCATTTACCTTGATTTCTCAAAAGCTTTTGATAAGGTTAACCACTTGTGTCTTATCAATAAGCTCAAACGACTAGGTATCAAACCACCTCTAATCGACTGGCTTACTTCATACCTAAAAAATCGACACTTTAAGGTTACGGTTAATTTCACTTTATCTCGGGCTATGGAATGTCCTAGTGGGGTCCCCCAAGGCTCAGTACTAGGGCCTCTTCTCTTCTTGATCCACATAAATGATCTTCCTCAACAGGTAACGTCAGACTTATTACTTTTTGCCGACGACGTGAAACTTTGGAGAGAGATACGCAACCAAGACGATACACAGGCACTTCAGGAGGATCTGACTGGACTTCAAAGTTGGGCAGACGATAACGGACTTACCTTTAACACTTCAAAGTGTAAAGTAGTCCATCTGCGACATGTCGCAAACTACAGTTACAACTTAGGAAACTCCTCTCTAGTAGTATCCCAAGTCGAAAAAGATTTAGGAGTCCTGGTGTCCCATGATTTAAAGTCTTACGCTAACTGTGACAAAAATGCCTTCCGAGCAAACCTTGCACTGGTAACGTTGAGGCGCATTTTTGGCCAGTTTGACGGAAGAACTTTCCACACAATCTTCAATAGTTTCATCCGTCCCCATTTAGAGCACGGAAACATAGTACTCCCCCCTCACTCCAAAAGGACAAGGTCACTTTGGAGCGTATCCAACGGCGAGCCACGAAATCAGTTCGAGGACTCAAATCTAAGCCTTACGAAGAACGCCTCCGTTCACTAGACCTTTACCCACTAGAATATAGGCGTCTTAGGGGTGATTTATTAATGGCTTATAGTATTCTTAACACTTCTGGACATCCTCTTAAACACCTACTTAAGCTTAGTTCGAATAATAACCTAAGGGGTAACACCCAGAAACTGGAAACACAACATAGCAAGACGGAATGTAGACACAACTTCTACTCCTTAAGAGTTGTCAAAAGCTGGAACTCGCTGCCGGCCGAGCTAGTCCAAGCGACTTCTCAGGAGTCCTTCAAGAGGCAACTTGACCTATTCTTAAGGACCAAGGACAGCATCACACTATGATTTACCAATTTCTTTTCCTCTTTTATTGTTAACATACCTAGGTTCCTGCCTGGAGGATTTGGTGATCCCCTGCTACTAGACACGGAAGCCTGTTAAGCGAAAGCTTCTTCTATTCCGTCCACAACCATTTGAACCATTTGAACCTTGAGTAATTGGTCTATAGGATATCATAACTCCAAGGAAAACGAAAATAAAAGAATGGATAACTGGGTCATGAGTAGTTCGATTAATTCTATAAAAACACGGATATCATAAGAGCGATGGATTTCACGAAGTTAGCTCGAGATGATTGTGTTTAAATTCGTCAAGTTGCATCACAAATCTGTGCGCCTTGAATAAAGAATGGGACTTGGATTTCGTTCTTAATTTGAGAGACTAGTATTGTTTTTGTTCAGCCATGAGTGATGAAGAGAATCTACAGAAACTTTTACTGATGGGGTTTACGGATGAGGACAACATAAGGGCAGTTTTAAAGTCATGTAGTTCAGATGTAAATGAGGCGATATCTGTACTGTCTTCTGAAGGTGTATATACTAGAAATAGTTGCGCTTTTACTCCAGATAAGGTAAGGAGATGCTCAAAATAAGTTTTTTGTTTCCGCTCGTTATATTAACATTTAAACTGCTCCTGGGTCAATGTTCAAACTAAACTATTGGCATGCATGTGACTTGGCTAAAGCCCCTTGTAGCGGTAAATAAATCCCCAAAATAAATAGCCCTAGAGAATTCCGATATATTGGTCATCGCCAAATATACTCTTCCGATCTCCTCGACTCTGTCTTTTGATTTCTCTGGGTGGGAACGAAATATATTAGGTGTTACTGGCAAAAGCGTTGTCAAACACTGAATACCTGTGGCATCATCACCCTCAAATGAAACAAGCAGCTTATTATAGGTTTTTAATCTAGAAAATATTGATTATTATGCTTGTGTGGTGTCGTGGTTATTGAGAAACGACATAGAATTGCAAGAAACCGACTGTTTACCTGTCTGAAATGTACCTGGATTGACAAGGCATGGAGATTATTTCCCTCTTACACTTGTTACCATAGCTTGATATGTTTCTGTAATACGTTTTGGTTTTTACCAGGGTGTGTGTAGTCCTCCCTATTTCTTTGCCACTGTATACCAAGGCTTTATCAGGTTCAGTTTTGTGTAGTGAGGACTAATTGTTGATTGTACTTGTAGCTCATTGAGTTACGCCTCATATTCATTTGATACTCGAACGTCTTCAATACAGAAATTAGTAGTTTTTGCAGGACACTACGATATGTAAGTAATTATTACGAAGTGCGATGTGAGGTACATGCGTTTTCATGACGGGTGTCATATTGTTGGTATGTAATCTTCTAAAAATGAGTAGATTTCTATATTGCGATTTGATTTTAAGTTATGTGATAACGTCCATATCCATCACTGTTTGTTCCTATTTCCTCGTTTTTAGAGTATGATACGCAGCAAGGAAACTTTAGAAGATGAATGTTCCGGGTCAGCAACTGTTTCATTGGATGAAAGCTCAGATCCACTTGATAAACTAGTTTTGGGGCATAACATAAGCATAGGATTTTCTTCTCTTGAGTTCAATAGACTTCAAAGTCGTGTTTTAACAGAACAGTGGGATATTCCGTGTCTAAGGTCACAATCTCTTGGTGTTTGCCTTATGGGTGCTGTTTATGAGATAAAAGTCAATGGTTTGAAGACATTCGATTTATACCCTGAAGTCCAACGCTTTCTTACTATATGTTTGAAGGAGTGTGTTACTAAGGTAGTTTAATGCATAATGAATTGGTGGTATTTTGTTTACTTTCACTTCAGCAAAAGTTAATTTTACGGTTTCATGATTTTTATTATCCTATTTTTACAGTCGTTTGCCACTCATTGACTGATGTTTCAAACGTATAATTAGATATCATTTTAAGCACTGCGATTTCCATGAAGCAGGTGCCATACATTACAAAGTGAAAGCTATAAGTTTAATTGATATACATCATAACCTACATTCCGTGTAATATTTTTGTTCATCTCAATGATTTTGTCTTACTTGCGTGACTTATCTTCCTTAGAAGTAAAACTGAGATTTCTTTAGGATTCATTTACATAAAAGTCACGTTATTGTATGTGTCTCAGAGCTGATGCATTGATTAATTATTTACGTTTCTTGAATTTTTGTCATAACACACACTTAATGTCTGAATAAAGTGAGAGATTCGAAACAGTAGTTAGTTTACTGGTCACTTATGCATAAACTAATGTACTGTATATCTCTGAAGGTTATAAATAAGTCAATAAAATTTTCACTTTCCAAGAGTAAATCGCCTTTCAAAATTGAAACATCGCTCTACAAAAGTATTCATTTTCCATAATAATATTATACTAAATCTAAACGTGAGAACAAGGATTCATGAAGATCAATCTGTACCTGAGCATGGATGCATAGACCAAATATTTGTCCTTCATCAGGTTCTCGAACACGGATATACCTCTCAATTTCCATCCATAAGTGTATTTGTCGACCTCATGGCGGCGTTCGTTTCCATAGATCGACAGGTTTTACGTATCTGTCATTGAAAAGCGTACTAATGAAGTATATTAACCTTGTACAGGATCTCTACTGAATCACTGCTGGTTAAGTTAGTGCTTATGTCAGAGTAGTTCACTTTCACCATTTTTACTTTGTCATAGATATTCTTTTAGAGATAACGATCTTATCGTCTGACTTTTCAGCAATCGATTTAACAAGAGGTTCTTTTGTCGACTTATAATCCCTAAATGGTAAGAACTGGTTTGGTAAATACGCTGACGGAATACAATGTTGTATTACCACCTCAAGCAAGAATGCTAATATGTTTGGAATGCGTTTTTCCCATGAATGGTTATAATAACTGTTATGTCCTCACCTTGTAGGATTACCACGAATACGATTGCCAAATTTAGATGCGCGAATTTATACGACCAAGAAATGACTCATATATCTGAACGAAGGACACTGGAATTCCGATTGATCCTTCTCCCTGCCTGTTAAGTTTATAACACAAATCTCAAACTCCGCGATATAAATCATGTATTTCAAGCATACTGGGTTTATATAGAAACCTGACACACCACATCACACCAGAAATAGAAAATAGCATTTGTACGAGATCGAGCCAAAAAGTGGCTGTGATTGAGATTGTAATTAATTAATTGGGTATAACGTAAGGATAGTAAATCGTATAATAATAGTCTATTGGTCAAAATAAAGCTCATAATGAGAGGAATATGGATACACATAAACTAGTTACTAGTTTTACATTAAAAAGTATACCTATAATATTAGTCCATAAATAGATCTCAGCAGCTCCTTTAGTTATTCTCGTTGGGATATAACAAAATCATCTGTAGATGTTTCCAGTCATTGATATCACTTTAGTCAGAGTTGGAAATCATAACTGGATGACTGTTTATCTCTTAAACGTCTGGTGGAAATTATTTAATTTTCAGACATATTGTGTTGTACAGTGGTTGCTGCAAATGGTAACCGTTAAAGTGTCGGGCACTGGTTTTTTATTTCAGTTAATTAACATTAAGTCTATCGTGGTGTTTAGGAGGTGAAATATCCTTTGTCTGTAAACCAGAAGTGAGGTGGAAAGACTGTCCAACAGTTTACTTTTAGTAGTCTTTCAGTCAGTGTTTTCCTTCGAATATGTCCGAAAAATTTAATGCAATAACTAAAGTAATATATTACTACTTTAAAAACTTTCAACTTATTTTTTTGCTAAGAAATTTAAGGAAACAAATCGGTGTTTTTCTTTCTATAAAGCTAATGACATCGCAGGCTGTATTCAATTGGGATCGTGATACTTTGGAAGGTGTACATAACATGTTAGAGTTAATAATTCGTCTAATTTGTGAGTATATGAGTACATTAAAAGTGGCTATTCTTGGAGAGATCAAAGAATACAATGGTAAAGTAAATGACAAAGAAGATTCTGTTGAATCACAACCTTTGAGAGATAAACATCTTCAATCTATTGGTGTTTTAGGCTGTGGAGCATTTTTATTCACTGAACTATTTCATATACTTTCAATGATTTTTGACTGTGAGACAAATTACCATCAATTATGTCGGGATAGAAATTGTAATACTGGAACCTATGCGTAAGTCAATCATTGAACATAATACCTTTACCTTGAACTTATATCTAATACACTTGATATTTACTTATAGTTTTAGATATATAAAGATTTAATTATTACTGAACTAATAGGTCAATAGTAAATGATGTCAATATTAATCTCGTTGTTAGCAAGAATTTAATCAATTTCGTAGATCTATTTACCTGACAAGCTCGGATTGTCATCAAATTAAGATCCTGGATGACTTGCGAACCTTAAACAATAGAACTCCGATTTGAAGGATCGACATTATAACATTAGTTGTCATGCTTCTATGATGACATATTTTGCTTTTTTTACGTATGAAATTACTCTCGTAATCTTCATGATTATTACCATATTACGGTCTATATATTCCATCATAAACCGTGGCTCCAACTGTCTTATTTATGAATATCATTCTTTTGTATGCGTTTATGACTTTTCACGTAACCTATACTAATCAACCTTGATCCTCTAATTTGAAGCCTGCAGCCTATAAGTATGAAGTACTCTAGATTTAGCGAAATGATAATTAATGACTCTTGGTAACTTGGTTTTAAATTAGTTAAACTGGTATATATTTGCTATTCAGAATTTAAATAACCCTCATCTTACAATTCATTATTTTGTCAGCCTTTTATTCAAATCCTTTTGTATCAGGATCCAAATGCCCATTTTTCATTTGTTTCAAGGCTTAGCCAACCACGAACTCTTTAAGACTGGTGTAACTTTTGAGCTAAGTGAAGTAGCTTACATGTTCTTCTGTTTCGCTGTATATGTTAAGACTAGGCGTTGGCTCTAAGTAGCCCTAAAATATACAGGCATCATCACCAAGGTTTGACCTAATAATTCCAAATCAATGGAGCATCTGTGGATTGTTACTAATAAAAATAATGTATTTGTAATCTTCCAATGAATAGAAAAACTAAATTTTCTGACGTTTCACGACGCAGTGTATGCTACTTTCCCAGAGAATAAATAAGCAAATTAAATTAGCCTAAGTTAAAATGGTACAAAAGAACAGCAAAAATATTTAGTACGATCAATCAAAAGCAGGTCTGACCGAGTCAATGTTCTGTCACTCTAGTCAAGGCGATTTATGATTTAATCCTAAAGTATTATTTTGTACCTAGAGTAGGAGAAATATATCCCAAACATTAGGAATTGTTGTTTGAGATGTGTACAAGACTTAATTTTGTCAGCATTTTTGTATACTCAGTCCAGGTGAATTATAGATCAACTCCTAGAAGATTTTACAAAAAAATATGTTTTTACTGTCTTGTACACTCTAATAAAGCACTGATTTCAAAAGAAACGGTATCACTTTGTGTTGTAGCTTCCCTCTACAGTGACGTGATATGGGTTTATATATAGAACAAAGAAGTAGGTTTTTTGTGGATCTTAGCTCTCTTTAAAAGTTTTCTTTATAACCTTTTTTTAAAGTGATCCATTCAATGACTGGAGTCAGATCGCTCATAAACATTTGGAAAATATCGTCTTTGCTGAGGCATTACCAACTCCAAGGAATTTTTATCTTGTCAATTTGCTCAATTGTTTTGGTGTTTATAATGGTTTCAGTCTGCTTAGTTGGTTTGCAACTCAATCCTGGTCTAATATAAATGTTAGTTAATGCTTTTAAATTCATACATTACCAATGTGTTCGTTGCTTTTTAGAAGCACTTATAATGAATGCTCTGTTTAAAATAATCACCATTTTCTTCAGTTACGAAGAGTTCATATCTGCTTTTTAGAACTGCTGTAAGCTTAGTATAGTTTTGTAGGCTCAGTCTTCTAGTTTCAAAATCACGACAGCTTTTCATTTTTCACACCGAATCGGGAATAACATATAGACAATTGTTAGCATTCCAAGATAAATAAAATAGTGTTGTAGTGTGGCGTTGAGTCGCCGTTGACTATGATCACCACTACAGGAAGACTACGTGCCAGTTAACCGACAAGATCCCTAGGCCAAATATCAGAAGGCAGTTGGTGGCTTTAGTAGGCGATCTTGTGGTATCAAAATAATACCGAGATCGTGCCAGGTTACAAGTGTGGTTACTGAGCGTAACCGAATTCGTGCAAGGTCACAAGCAACGGAAGAATGTATGTGTTTTGGTACAGTTAAACAAACAAGTACGGTAAAACAATCCCCGGTACAATTGGTTATAATAATAATTGTTTCCATTACACCAATCGCGTTCTCTTGATAAAAGTAGGTCAATACAATGTAAAGAAATATCTTTGAAATATTTTGGTTGGTAGTTGTTAATGTTTTATTAGACAATGTTGACGCGTAATATAATGAAGTAGTAACATAACTTATTTACATGTAAAAATTTATATACTCCGGTTTGAACCCCATTGCCACTAACCTAATTTTATAAAAGTCGATTAACTTGAAGATAGTTTTTGTTTCGAGTTAAAATAATCGATTTATGTCGTAATCAAAACAGCAGTAAAGTTACATAGATGTTTCATCTTAGTGTAAAACAGCTTCTGGATATACCGTGCATTCATTCCCAAATGAACACTGAAATTAAGCTAATTAGTTATCACCAAAATTATCCCTATGAATCCCAACTTACTGACGGGAAATTGTCTATCCTATGTGAATTGAAAATACAGGAAGATAATCACAAGCAATCTGGATTCAGGAGTACTAATCCTGGAATCTCGATCCTGTTATTCAGTAGTAATGTTTACTCTGACTAGTTCATAGTTTTCTCCTCCTCTAAGTGTAAAAAAACTAGACAAAAGATTTCAACTATCCATGTATTCACATTTTTCTTCTGTTTCTCAATTCACCTGTGAAGGAAGCAGATTTAAAAACTTCGAAATCGTTCATGTTTTCATTCCTTTCTAATACTTCTATTTTTTCAGTCTAACCCAAGACACTTTTGTGCGCATCCATTGATTTTTTTAAAGTAGAAATTTCATATTTAATAAATGAGCTAATTAATTTCTATCGTTCACTAATTCACATTTACTAATGTCTACCATTCACATCCTTAAATTTGGTTTTTGATCCCGTTTATTTTTCTATTTCCGTTACTTGGTTGCTTGATTGTTTTATTTTATCAACCATATTGGCTTTCTAATGTTTTCTTCCTTCTACTTAGCTTACATCGATATTTCTTCTTCCAATGGCTAAATGCTGTGATTATTTAACTTTGTATACTCTGAAAAGTTATGCAGCCAAGGTTATGTATCGTGTTATTTGGCGTTTATCAAATTTATGTATAGAAGATTTTAAAGATAGAGTAAGTTAATTCGGTGATAAATAATCAATAGTTTCTACATTAAGGTATGTAACTGTACGTGTTTGATTTTACTAAAACCTAGCAGACTTATACACACATTATTTTATCAGGCATTCGGTGAAGTTCAATTTGTGTTTTGTCAGTAGTCAATTTTTTATTTCATTTACGGAATGATTAAGTTAGTAATTCAAAGATGAGTGGTTTGAATGGCATTAATAGTTAATAAAGGGCGGCCTGCTTGAGCGTCTGGGCTACCTGTTCCTGCCATCTAGATATTTCAACAAGTTATCTGTTTTTGTTTGTTTTAATATATCATTATGTTTATTAATCGCATAACCTATTCTGCTGCGTTTCTGAAGAGTGTACAACCTTTTGTTGTCAAAGTTAGAAAAAGCTCAATAAGAGACAATGTGGTTGGTGGCAATATACAACTGAAAGAATGCACATTATTCAGATGTTCATTTACTGGACTGCTAATATGTAACTGGCGATCACTCAATATTTATCGCCAGGACCGACCAAGAAGAAAGGAACGGAAACTTGTTGAAATACTTTGCGCTGAGAATTCTATATTGTACCAAAAATATAATATTGAATAAAGCTGATGATAATAATAATAATAATAATAATAATTTATATTTAAACTTTTGATATCTTTTCTTGTACATATATCAGAGTTTCTTAGACAGGTTATAAATGGTTAAATCCACAAAATGTCCTTAATGTCATCTATTATTCTGCTATTCACCTGTTGCACATCTAAATATTTTTACTAGTTATTTTCTTTACATGAGCACTTCTCATCTGTTTCCTGATTACTCTTTGATGCGCTTATTTCACGCTCAACCTCCAGCGGCATTGTGAATGTATTTAAATGCGTATCTTTTCTCCTAACTCAATGTCTTTTAATCTGTCCAATAAATCTACTGAGAAAAAATTGGTTGTTTTTGATCAATATGTTTGGAAGAGCGGAATGAATTGAATGAAGTGAGTGCTTAATTAACTGAAGATAAAGTAATCTACACCGTCTAGGTAATATCTGTCGAATCCATTGACTGATTTTGCTCTGCTTTATATTTTGATCATAGGTCGATAAAATGTATGTCGTTCAATTGTCATTCTCATGTGTGTAGAACTCTTATATAGAATTTTTGAATAAATCGTTCATAAAAATATTAAAATCCACTTTCAACACAAATATTTATGAAAATGTGCTTTGATTCTAGTATTGATTTTTGCTGTTATTTCATCAACGTGTGAAGGCTAACTTTTGAGTTTTCTTGAAGTTATCTCCAACATGAATTTAAACATTTCAAAAAACGTATGTGGCTGGTATTGTATTACAGAATTTCGTAATGATCACGGTTTGATTTGTACATCGGTTACTGATGAAAAGAATAATAACTATAGATTACTGTTATTTGAAGAGTTATTCAAATTGCATGCTATCTTAATGACATAAAATGTATAAATGTATTTCATATATCTTGCTTAATAAGACATGACGACATAGGGAAAATATGTTGCCTAAGATGCATATTGTTCAGTATCATTGTATGGTAAAGATGACTGTTCAAAAAGTCAAGTCTTTAAAGTCTGATTAATTTAATTAATAATTCAGTGTTCGTTAACAAATCGTTCAGCGTATTCTCCCCCTATCTGAAATATCTGTAATCCATATTGTAACGAAGCTTCTAACAATATGCATGTTTACTATTCTGTAATTGTCGTATTTCTTTAGTGAATATTAACTCATTATGAGAACAATCTTTAAATTTTGTTACAATCTTCAACGGTTCGAAAATGTTTTGATGGTAACTTACATCTTATACGCTAGGCGTCATTTTCATGTGGACTTGAATAAAGACACATTTTACAAAAACAAACTTCTGATATAAATTAAAGAAACACAATCATGTGGAACGAATGAACGTATAACATAAGATACAATTTATCCTAATCACTGAACTTCATATTCTGTTGTAAAGATAATGACATCTAAGTGATTTACATGAACATTTTTTTACACAAGTAGCCTTTATCATTTGAACGGTTTAGTGAAAGAAGAAGAAAAGTTCTATTTGATTTTTCTAAAGTTAAATAATATTGATATGTTCAGTTATTTTTCTGATGTCTTATGTCTACTGATCTACAGTTGTGTTGTATTTCTTGTTCTTTTATTTAAAAAACACAGGATTCACGTATATTTGAGCTGATCACCAGCATTCGAGTTTTAACATATCGTTTGGTAGATTTAAATGTTGCAGATAATCTTGGTTCTTTATTGACATCAGAAGAATGTAGTTTTTGCTTAGGTAGTTTAATGTTCACTGTTTTTGAACCGAATTGGGATGATGTTATCTTACGATATAACAAAAACAATTTTAATCAACAATTAAACGATCAAGTATCATTGTTTTCTATTCCTGTAATTGATAAATTACATTACAGTCTGTTGCTTACAGCTATATCACCACCACAAGGTGTAGGTGGTGCAACGTTTAACGGACGTATGATGGCTTTAAGAGAACTTATCCAACAATTGGAAGTATCAAAACAATTTGAAAATGTTAATAATTCATCTAGTAATTGGAATAAAAATAATCAAAAAAGACCACGTCCAATTGTTTCACTTACATCAGCTAGTTTATTAGCTACAGAAAATGCTGCATTCTTAGCTAAACGTCAACGGAGAAGAGTTTTACGCTTAGATCAGTTAATGTTTTGGATTCAAGATAACGAAGTGATATCCAAATCTCTACGTAAGTATTTTCAATAATATTGAATATTCATTATACTCATTGAATAACCTTAAGTAAGTGTTATGGCTTTAGGTTGCTGTCGATTTTTACCCTGTGTTATCGATCGATTACAGTGACACGTAAACACGAACGGACGGCCTAGAGTCTCGATTGGTTTGCGCTTCCCTGTCTAGCCCAGTTAGTTGAGTCCAGAACACAAGCCACAGCCTCGGAGATATGAATCATTATATTTCAAACATACTCTATTTATATACTAACCAAGCATACCACATCGTACCATAAAAATAGAAAACAACATTTTGTACAATACTCAACAAGTGAACAGATATCGACCAATAGGAAATGTCCATTTAAAGTCCAAGGACACCATTGGACTTAACATGATAATTATTGGTCTATTCCTCCGCATCCACAACAGTAAGTAAAGGTGTTTTTATATTTTAGCAGTTCAACTAAGTGTTGTCTATATAGTATTTTGGTTCTCAGTGTCACTTTTTTCTTACCATATACTTGGGTAGGTTTGCAAATACAATTGTTTACAAAATTCCCGCTTTCATTCATATTGCCTCATGGAAATTGCTTACCGGAGGTTTCGTCATGATTTGAACCTTTCAAGTTATGCAAATGTACTAACCCTTGACTGTAAAACAAATGACATTTTATCCAAGTTTGGTACTTCTTTTCATTTGATCAGTAATGAGATGAACTTAGTTCTTATGATTAATATTTTCTTTATTTCCTGTCTAAACGTTTTTTTTGAATATTTTTAGACAAATTGGATAATACAGCGTATATGACTACTTTAAATAACTTTTTCCGTGCTCTTGGTGAGCGTATTACAAATGATGATTTAACAACTTTGTGGCATCGAACATCACATCAAAATGGTGCAGCAGTAGATAATATATTAAATTTACTCACAGATTTGGCATCGTCTCGATTTACTCAATCTCAATTAAAGCATTTATTTTTTCTTGTTGAACTGGTTAGTTGAACGCTTTACATTATTTATAGGCTTTATTTAAAGTTCATTTTTAAATTAATCCTCACGAGTTGACATTAACTGAAATAATGTTGATGAATACAGTGAATCATCGAACAGCTTTTGTCATAATTTGAGATTTATCAACATTACAAGCCGAAAAATGTGCGTGTTATGGAATATACAACCTTTAGATTTTGCAATGAGCATGATAACATTTGACAATTAAATTGTTACCTACCGGTTTTCACATTTGAAACTCAGTCCATTTGCAGTATAGTGCGTTCTTCACGTAATATTATCGGTAGCCCGTGGTTTTGATGTTTCTTTAGTTGATGCTGGTTAATGATGAAAATTCCCTTCAACTTGTTTGTAATGTATCCAAATCATTTTTTACTACCATAAATACTATTAATTTTTAGTTTGCAATTTTCAAACACCATTTTATCATACTTCTATTGATGTCATCTGTTCTTGTATTGTTTGATTCATTTTCATGGTAACATTTTTATTGAATAGTATATTTGAAATTTTCATATCTTGTTTTATAAATTTTTTCAATTAACGTTAATTTTATCTAAAAAATTAATTATTAGAATAGTTAGAAGTAAGACTGTTCAAAGTAGTGTTTTCAACGTTCTTGTGTATATTAGTATTAACTTAAATGTTTTGTAGTGCACATGTCTCTTGTATATCATATTGATGTACAGTTAAATTTAATTTTACAGTATCTAAGCTTAAATAGACTGTTCCCCAAGTAATCTACAAACGTATAAGTGACTCATAGATAACCTGGCTATGAAGCTAAGAATTTTCAGATATTTATTAGAAATACTTTTCAAATTTTCACCTTTGTTATAACCTGGTCCTACGTTGTAGTTGACTGACTGACTGACTGACCTAAGAAAATATATGATGTTAAAATTCATACGACAGGCTACACTGAAAAGTCGTTCATGGAGGACATCTAACCCATGCATTCCAGGTGAGGAATGGTTTCAGACAAAGCTGCTTACTCTGATTTTTCCTCTTTCTTCTGGTGGTTGACTGGATTAGGAAGACCTCCACATCTGAAAGGAAGTATGGAATACAATTGATAGCTTGCATGAAACTAGGCTATTTGGACTTTGCAGATGACCTAGCTCTTCTATCCCATACCCACCAACAAGTACAGGTGAGGAAAGCCATTGTAGCAGCAACCTCCGCATCAGTAGGTCTCAACATACACAAACGTGAAAGAACACACTGCATCAGGAATTGGAAGCAGATATGAAATTGATGAATAGCAACTGGAAACAAGTGGAAAGAATTTTTCAGTACAGAGTTGGATGGAGAATGCTAGTGGTTGGTTTGTGCTCCTCCACGCGGGGTAACAGGCATAAATAAGTAGTCAAAGTAATAAGTACAGCAACAGAATAGCAATGAACTAAATCTATCTTTCCATTCACTCACATGTTTTTACCAATGTTGGATAGTGGTTAGTGGTGGGATCCAGGGCTCACATTTCTTCCTACTCGCGATTAGTCAGTCGGGTATACCTGCGTCTTAGTGAAGATTAAAATTATTCACAAATTTCTCATATATATGGCGTTGCCCGTTTCTAGAGAATTAGTGCGAACTGAACAGTTATTTATTTAAAAACAACATCATTGTTTTCTAACCATGCTAAATATGAACATGTAACGCTAATGCAAAATGCATTACGGTATAAATTGTAAAAGGTTCATTTATAAAAGTGTTCTCCAAATTATAATTGGAAGATTGCACTTTATTCAATTTTCATGTGATAAACTGGTTATTATTGATTTAAATTATTCATATCTGCTAATCAGTCTATCACCTAGTAACCCAATTTTCATCGATCCACATATAATAGTATCCAAAGTTTAATGCCCAAGTTATAAAATACCTTCGTCATTATCATACACGTTTGAACTTGATGAGCTTTCCCTTTAGGTGACATGACTAACTCATAACTAAATTGATAATAAAAGCAGTTTAGATTAAGTACGAAGTTTCCATGATTTTTAATAATTACATAACAGGTAGATTATAGGTATTATCTATATTAGTCATGCTTATTTAATTCTTCAACTTACTTAAATTTCTTCAGAGCTGGATGAATCTAGATCTACAAGCAATTTCACATAACTTTCCTGATATTAAATCTAATAACAATCGAAAATCTAAAACATCTCTTATTCAATTACCTCCTCCTGATGAGCCATCTACCATACGTCATGCACGTGCAAGACTATTGAATATGATTGGTAGAATTGGAATATCTTCGAGAGATCCTAACACAGCTGATATGTGCATAGAATTATTATGGCGTTTAGCTCATTCAGATTATTCAGAAGAAGCAAAAACTTTTTCCAGACAAAATTATAAACCAAAACAATCATCACCACAAAAGATAACTTTTGTAGATCGTATTCTTGTTTCACATGGGCACAAAATGGACACAACAGATCCTACTGTAGCGTTGGAATTTCCAAAATATATGCACCCTGAACCGATTGAAGCAGCTTTAGCTCAACAGTTAGTTATTATTCGTGAATTTCATTGTTCAGGTGTAGAGCAAAGAATACGAGCGATGCGCTGGTTGTTAGAAGCTGTAGGTCATATAAGCAGGGTAAGCTATTCATTTGTAATTGACATGTCAGCTGTTTAGAGTATAATATGTATATTTTTGCGTCATTATTTATTTACTGTCATTTATTGCGTTTACGTCCTATCCTAAGAAGATGAAGCTTAAACAGCTTTTTTATATAAATAGTATTACGTATTCTGTTATTGCAGTTCTCTAACAAAACTGAATTTCTGATGTTATTATGGGTAACGTTTACAGTGTAAAAAACAAATCATGTGTAACTAATAAACAATCTGTTTAAAATAAATAATAAAATAATTTTTAGTGTCCTATTTCATAGAAAATTGAATTTCTGACTTTTCACGGTCATTTCTACAGAAACACAAGTTATAAATTGAAATCATCTTGGTGATACTTATAAAATATTTATTTGTTAGGTATTATTTTTTAAGTGATCTGTTTTTCAAATAAATGAGTTTTTAATGTTAAATAAATGGAATAAATAACACTATGGAATTAACCTTAAGTTGTACCTGATAGTTTATCTTGAACGCGTAAACATAAAATGGAAGTCTTATTGCTTAGACAATATGATCCTTTAATTGTTTTTAATCTATAGTGAATGATGTACAACGTTTTTATCGACAATACCAAGAGTTAGTTTCTCGGTGATTAAATAATCTTTCAATTTGATGACATTCCTCTAGCTGATATCTCCAAGATACAATTCACCAGTATCTGCTAACCGTTCAATTTGAAAGCTGTTATAGCGATTATTTATCTAACGTGAAAATATTGTTGATCAAATGTAAATTCTGAAACATATCGAGTATCATAGAATCTCTTTTTATTGTTTAGTTTGTGCAGAGAATATTGGAAAATACATATCTAGTGTTACAACGCACTACATATTTTACTTTTGACTTGTAAAACTTAATATATCTAGTAATTAACCTATCGAAAAGTTATGTTTTTCAACAAATTTGATTTTTTTGATCAGCGTTAATCAACAAAGGTTATAGACAATGTTAACCGTGGTTAGATTTTTTTAAAGTTCACTTGTTTGAATCTCTATTATATCTTTTACACAAAGATTAAATTTCGAACACTCAGTTTCATCTTCTGTTTGGTTTTGTTTTATATTTTAATTGGAACGGTATTTATGATCAAAAAGATTGTAATATGAAACACTGATAACGTTTTTTCTAAACTCACTAGATATAAGTTCAGATTACACAACGAATTCATATTTGATCTCAGCTGTATTTCAAATAATTTCTTAATTTTTTTTCCATTGTTTCTTTCTGTAAAATCTAAATAATTTTAACTGTTTTTATTTACAGAACTCCCTGACATTTTTTATGCTAGCCTATCTAAAATCCTTATTGGAATTCATATTGAAAAATTTTGTTGGAAAAGCTAAACGAGTAAGTCATCTTTCGTTTAGTTATATTTACGTATTGGTTCACTTAGCGTTTCTCTACAGATTGTTTATTTATTCCTTTGTTAATTTAAAACTAACAATGTATAAGATCTGAGATAGCTTATCTACACAACAGTATTAATGAAGTGTACTGTTCTATAATTGAAATATTTCCAAAGATAAGCTCTTGTACATAACTTTCACGATGACCTTAAGTATTTTCAAATTAGCTATTGTAAATAACATCAGGATACTATTTGATTACAAATAATTTTAAATATAATTGTCCATAAAAATTAGGAGATTTGAGCAAAACTATTCTATTTGAAGTTATTTGTCATCACGGACTTGTTGGCTATTTTGTCCTAGATTGGAGATGAATTCTAAAGTTCTGTTGAGAAGTCGTGACTAGCAAAGTTCATTCACATCGAAATTGAGATATATCTGCGGCCGATGGAAAAGGGTAATGGTTGCTTACTTTTGCGAAAATGAGAACTATTAAATTCTGCTTCATAGGTTGTAGTGTATTTTGCTGTCTCGGAAGCATCAAAGTTGTAAATTTTGTTCCATGTATGGTCCTTGCCAAGCCATATTGAAAAGTTTCCAAACGAAACTTAACATTTTTCTATTATTATTTGGTTTACAATGCGTTTCTAATTGATTTCATTTTCTGATGAAATAGATCTTAAAACTAAACAGTCTCTACACAGCTTTTTGTTTTAGTAAAATATCAACTTTTAAAAACATAACAAATTTTCCATACCCATTGGGCAAAAGTAACCGTAGTCAATTTTCATTTCTACAAAATTAAACTGTAAATCGAATGTATTTTTTGTAGTTAGTAGTTTTATACTTTGTAAAATCTATTTTAACGTCAGTTAATACCTATCGATTATTTATTGTCAAAATATAATTTTAATAATTAATTCATTCGTTCATTATTAATAAAGGATCATCTTCATGAACTTAATCGTTCACATGAATTGATTACTCGCGTTGTCGATTCTTTACTGCATTATGAAAAATGGGCGATTTCATCTCATGGTGATCTCTTAACTGCAGATAGTTTGGATGCACTTGGTTTCAGGCATAGTGATGTAAGTTATTTTTGAATCACAGTAATTTACTGATTTCTGTGATTACCTTTGATTTGTGCTATACCTATGAGGCTTTTCTTATGTTTTCGAGAAACTCTCAATTTTTTATTCAGCAGTCTTATATTCTTGTATTCGAGAAGGATTTTTATCCAAGATTCACTTGCAAATATCATCTATTGAGAAAAATAGCATTTTCTTCATCCATGATTCTACTTTATTGAATGGGGGAAGAGGGGAAATTTTCCAGAGAATGTTACTTATCTGAAACCAACATGATCTGCTAGAACTACTTATAGATATGTTGGGAGCATTGATTGTATGATAAGTGATCGGATAAACTTTCCGACCTGATAGATAGGTTTGTTACTAGTATAGGGGTTGTGGAGATTATTAAGTTTTTGATTGAGATCTTGAACAAATTGATGTTAGACCATCACAATTGAAAACCTGGAAGCACTGGACGGCCGTTTCGTCCTATTGTGGGACTCCTCAGCAGGTTTGTAACTGATTTTAGATTGTTGTAAACATTGTACCATAAATAAATAGATTTACGGAAATAGGTGTCATGTGTATAGAATCTCAAGCAAACTAAACTTTCAATTAGCATAGGACTTTGTGATGGTTGAATTTCTTTTTCTATCTGTGCATAAATACATAGTCTGTTGTTTCCACCTTTAAGATATAAGAGGAAATGAACGCGTACTTACATTGGCACTGTAGTGAACAGAATACGGGTGGGGACAATCGAACTATATATTTAGCACAAAATTACAGTTACTTGGTAAAATAGGAAAACCATACTACAATACTTAATTTGCAAAATGTTCAATAATTGTCTCAAAGTTCATTGTTCTTGCATTTTCATACTAATTGCTTTCTATTCCCACTCTTCCTTTCTTGATCTTCCCCATCTTCTGCTGCCAGACATTACATTCCTGACTCGCGTCATGTACTACTTATATCAATATAAGTAGCACGCACCACAGTACTTATTATTTCTGTTTTCCTGCTTATGGGTTTCGATTGTTTTGATTCATAAAACATTCAATTTATCCAAGTATTTACTTTTAACTGGTAATAGTTTGTCCCAAATTGTTGCAGTTGGGAATTGTATAGGTTAAACTTGTTACAAAATCTCTATGTTATATTAATTATGGTGATCCAGACATTTAAATAATGCTTTTTCAATAAAATACTTTAAAACTGGAAAAGAAGGTTGAGCTAATGCTTGATACCAACTTGCCGAAGCTGATCTGTCAAAACACTCGATGTAATTCAGTGTGATTTCGTCACCGTACAAAGTACCTTTATCGAGTTTACTTTCTATTTACACATAGTTCTACATCATATGTGTTTAATGTTTTTTTAAATATCCGGTATTTATCTGTTTTTCGTATTCAGGTAATCAAACGGCATTTTGATCTTTTGAATTTCTTACTTCGAAACGCTGAACTAACATTGAGCGTTGAACGTGCGAAAGCTTTATGGGAAACATTGATTGGTCAAACGCGTGCTGCCCCATTTGATCGTGAGGTGATGTATTATTCTACAAATATTTTCTACTGTTTATGTGATTTAAAGTATTATTCAAAGTCATTTCTTAGAAGCCTTACTAATTGTATTGTATCTAGCAATGCAATTCACCATACCCATTTTGTCCCACTTGGCAGTCATACCCTCATACCAGTGTTCACAGAATGATTGAAATCTAATGGTAATCACTTCAAATACCAAAACGTTATTCATTAAGCTGTTGAGTCTAAATAACAACACCGTTGTCCAAGACGTATGATATTATTTGCAAGCGTTCGTATTTCCCTGTTGTCAAAATTCAGAAATTCACTTGACCAGTCTTTGTTGGTGGGTGTCCGACTTAACTGGATGGCCTTGTATTGCTTACAAAAACGAGTTTTAGCGTGTTTTTGCATTGTATCTATACACAAATGAGATTAAATAGGAAATATTTAGTATTTTATATGCTTTAAGTTTTGTAAAGTATGATGTTCAGATTATTGGATTTATTTAGAAAAGAGATATTATGTTGTAATGTCTTATTCATATTCTACTTATTTACTATGTGATTATTAAATACTACTAATTTTTTTGAAGTGAGATTGGTTAAACAGTGAAGTTAATACACTTTATTTGCTAACAAAAAATCCTTATTTCTTTTGATTAATTTAATGTTAGATGTCAGATATCTGTTTTTGTTCATCTTCATATATGACTTTATCATTTATACAAGTCGATTTCGCAAATTTCTCTTCACTTTAAATGTTAAATTGCTGAAAACTGCAGAAATATTGATAACGAGCGAGAATTCAGTAGCTTTTTCTATTACTACCATGTATAATGAATTTAGTAGAGGGAATTCACAATTCAGGTTGAATGTTATATCATTATTCACTTGTTTATAACTATATGTATATCGCTAATTCCAGGAAAGGCAATATATGATATTTGAAATTCCCTTTTGTTGGTGTTAGAGACGGACTTCCGGTCAATCTCTTGTTCGTATGTGTGTATCGTTGTCAGATTACTTCGATATTACTATGACGTGACAAGCATTTAAGTAAAGATGGACAGTGGCAAACAGTGGAATCAAGAACTTACGATCCCATTGACAGATACTACTCATCTTTACTTAAGACAATATATGCTTATCAAAGAGTTTTTACTTTTAATCAGAAATCTATATTGATAAGTGGAGCAAACAAACATGCAGCAATTAACAGTTTTTTCGCTCCATTATGACACCTCTTTTAATTTGTATAAAAAATTCGTAGTCTCACAAAACACTCATGTCCAATTCATTTACTAGTTGTTTTTTTTAAAAGTAGAATATACGTCTGACCATGAATTATATTCCAGAATAGTTTTATATTGAAACAAAACCATTGTCTGCGTACATCTACTTTTCCAGTCATGATATGAGGCAAATCTTAGTTTAACTTTTGATTATTTGAACTTATATTTCGCTTGAAAAAAATGTTCTAACGTTTGAATAAATTAATTTCTATTTCTTTCCTTTGATTGTTTTCTTTTAATTTATCGAATTTAGCAAGCATTTATTTGGTTTTCATCATGTTTAAATTTTCTTGATACTGATGCTCAAGCATTTGTTTTTACAAAAGTGATTTTAAAATCAAATCCTGCTTTATTTCGTTCAATCGCTGGTAAGTATGACACTTAGTCTTTTTTCTTTTTACAAATTGTTTTCTTATTCTTGTATAAACTGTGAATATTATCAGTGAAAAGTTTTAAAACAATCTTATTTAATCTAATGTATTTTTATGATGAAATTAAAGAATAGTATTTTTAAACGGAGCAAGAATGAAGATTGGTGCAGAATAATATGAACTCATTTTATTTTGTTAGGTTCTCATGTGTAGTTTGAATTATTTTTTCTGGTTAGTGTTTTTTTTAGCGAGTTAGTTTTCTACGGGAAGACTATCAGCATTATCCAGAACTCATACGACGGACTACAGTGCAAAGTAGTGCATGGAGGACAGCTGACAGATGCATTCGAAGTAAGGACCGGATTCAGACAAGGCTGTCTACTCTCTCCCTTCCTCTTTCTTCTGGTGGTCGACTGGATTAGGAAGACCTACACATCTGAGGGAAAACACGGAATACAATAGACAGCTCAGAACCAATTAGACGATTTGGACTTCGCAGATGACCTAGCCCTCCTATCGCATGCACATGAACAATTGCAGAAAAAGACAGCCAGTGTAGCAGCAGTTTCTGCATCAGTAGGCCTCAACATACACGAGGATAAAATCAAAGTCCTTAAATACACCACGGAAAATACCAACTCAATCACACTTGATGGAGAGGCTCTGGAATAGGTGCAAACTTTCAAGTAGCCTGTCAGCAGCATCATCGATGGACAAGGAGGATCCGATGCAGACGTGAATGCAAGGATTAGCGAAACAAGGGCTGCACTCCTACAACTGAAAAAACATATGGAACTCAAAACAACTTTCAACCAATATCAAAGTCACAATCTTCAATACGGACGTCAAGACAGTTATACTGTACGAAGTTGAAACTTGGAGAACTACTACAACCATCATCAAGAAAGTGCAAGTATTTATAAATAGCTGTCTTCACAAGATACTCAACATCCATTGGCCGGATACCATCAGCAACAGCCTACTGTGGAAGAGAACAAACCAGCTTCCAGATGAAAAGGAAATTAGGAAAAGACGATGGAAATGGTTAGGACATACTTTGAGGAAATCATCAAACTGCATCACGAGGCAAGCCTTAGCTTGGAATCCTGTAGGGAAGTGGAAAAGAGGAAGACCAAAGAACACATTACGTCAGGAAATGAAATCAGATGTGAAAAGGATGAATAACAACTGGAAGGAGCTGGAAATGATTGCCCAGTTCAGAGTTCTATGGAAAATGCTTGTGAGCAGCCTATGTTCTTTCACGAGGAGTAAAAGGCGTAGGTAAGTAAGTATGTGTATGAAATAGTATTTTTAATATTTTTTTATGGCAAGAAATAGAAAACAGGATAGTATGATAAATTGTATCAAGTAACTTCTGATTGATAATAAGTATGTTGGCTGTTGTTTAGTAAATTAATCTGTCATATTATTAGGATTATTTTCATGCATAAAAAATCATTTGAATGTACTTGAAGTTCAAAACAGATTGTAGTGTTGGGTACTATGTTAAGCCCATGTACTTTATTCTAACTTCTGGACTGGCCAATTCATCCATTCTTCTTGAGTTACGTTCTGACCTTGTTAATTGTTCACTTATCAACCTTGACTGTTTTCACATGAGCACATATGTGTGTTCACTTCTTATTCTATTCATCACATATCTGTAACTTATTTTTATCTGGCTATAAATATTGATCAACGCTTGATTAAATGGCGTTGGCTCGTCAGCCTCCTGCACCGCGCGTCACTTTGTTTCGCTCTCTTCTATCCTTCTCATTTCTTGTCCAGATGAGTGTACGAAATATATGTATTCAAAAATCCATTATCGTATTCGACTTATTTAATTCCGTTATTCACCAGCGCGATTTAAGTCGGTGATATTATACGAGGAACGACGATATACATATTTCCACATGTATATCTCAAATAGCAATCAAAACCGACCAAGTTGCAGTCAGATCCTGTCTATTGAAAAGACCGTAAATAAACAATACTAACTGACAATATTCTTTTGGACAGACAAAACAAATAATTCAAAAAATGTTTTATCACATAAATGGATAAATATGTTAAGATATTGTCAATCAACGGGGTTAGTATTTTTCCACAACTTCTGACATACTGTGGTATTGGTCACTTATATCCACATAAGTAGTATATAACGGTGGTCAGGCATGGAATGTACTTCAGCAGAAGATCGATAAGGAAAGAACGGGACCGGAACGCAATTAGTATGGAAATGCATGAACAATGAAATCTAAGACAATGGACTGATATTTGCAAAAGAAACGGTCAGGTTTGAGACGATAGATTGATATTTTGCAAATTAACTTTTACTATATGGTTCTCAAATTTTAGTGAGATGCTCTGTAATTCCGTGTCTAATACATTCGATTGTCCCCATTCGTGTTCTTTTTCACTACAATACCATCCAAAGAGTTTGGATAGTCTTCAGCAAATGTTTGTTCCGAAATTGTTCATAATTTTGTGAATTTATTAAATTCTCATGAGAAAAGTTATAGATGAATGGCATTTGTCATTCTAATATTTTTTCAAAATATGAATCTGCTGATATGTATATCTGTTAAACATTTCCCAAAATAAAATGTTTATCTTTTTTGCATCAATCGTACTATTGTTCACATTTTTTGAACAAATTTTGTTTTACAATGCATGTTTTTTTCAAAAAAAAAGAAAAAAAAACTCTAGCTAGATGCACTTTTTCAGATAATATTTTAAGGAAAATAATTCGTTCTCGTTTACTTTATGCATATTTATAATTATTGTGATATGCTAATTGATTAATTTGGGTAGATAAACTAAAAAGTATAGGAATGTGAATGATGCACAAAGTGAAAGTTGATTAGTTGTTGCGTGACTTCTTTTTTGCTGTAAATTATCCATTCTTTTATCTATTAACCTTTATCGTCTAGATTGGATAGTGTGTACATTATTGACAGTTTTTGGATGTTTTTGTAATAAATCTGTTTGCTTGGGACTCGAAAATGATCTCCTAAGCGATGATCAGTTCTCTTATATAATTCATAGAAGGCATGATGAAAAAGACGAATTCCTACTTTTTGTACAGGTTATCGCTTTAAGAAATGATTTAAGGGTTTAGTAAAGATTGGTTTATTTTGTAGATAGTATTTATTACGAATTTGCTTATATTTTATCCATGGGAGGGGTCATTATTACATACTTTTGAGTCTGATGCTAAGGTGAAAATAGATTACCAATGCTCCACAATCTTTCAATAGTAACCCCGTTAAGAAGAATCTGTAATGCACATTTGCTACATTTTTTAAAGTCATGTCAATATTGACACACGTTTAACTAATTGAATAGTGAATCTAACACACAATTTCGCTTTTTTCCAATATTTGTCTTAATTCTGAACTGTAAAATGGAAATCAGAACTTTCAAGTTATTTATCTATTCAGTTTGAAGTGATTCAATCTCTGTTAACAATAAGGTCGAGTTGTATGTTGTATATCATTGCTTCTTATAAATTACTGAATGTCAAGTACAATCATAAACTTTACTTCTTCACATATATAATATATGCACTGATATATTCAGCAACTATTTATACTACATTTTACTAAATGATTGATTGCGGATTACTGAATTATATAGGTTTATACAGTGAAAAAGTATTGAACTTAATTATTTCCCATTTCATTTATTTCAGACGTAACATAAATCCTGTTTATTTCTCTAGGGTTGAATTCTTTCAAGTTATGATTTTTTTTTCTTCCAAATAATCAAAAATATACTTCATCTAGCAAATATAGTGAGAAGATAACAAAATGAAGAGAAGTGAATATTTAATTGCCTCATTAGTTTGTTTTTTATATAATACAATATTAGGACATAAACAATTGATGATTTATTATGTAATTTATTTAAATGAATATATAAAAATTCATTATATTTATATTTTAGTTTACTTTCATTTCTTCGATATTATTGCTGTTTGTTGTTGTTTAGGTTTTGAATGTTTCAAAGGATTTTTTGAGAAAGTCAATTTAAATGAAGGTCGTATGAAACAAGTGGCAAAATCGTGGGTACGTGATTAAATTACAATATTAGTTATAATTTTATCCTGTATTATAGAAATTCCATTTAAGAAGTCTGAATATACTGATATGAAATGGAATAAGATGTTATAACAGATGGCATTTATTTTGTATGAAGAGACTTTCAATACGAGATTGGTAGAGTTGTAATTAAATCTGATTTATAACCTAAAATAACACAAAGTGATTTATATAGTAACAGTGAAATATTTCAGATTGTCTTTTATACATATGGATAGGATTATACCTGATACTTATTTTCATTACTGCTAACTTTTAAAAGTAATTTGAACTTTATATAGCATATGAATGACCACTTCGGATGAAGCAACAAGTTTTGAGTCTATTATTTCGTTAACTTTAAAGTGTACTAAATCATGATTACAGATGCTTTTATCTAATTGTTTAATCAAGAATCAGATATTAAGACCAAAAGTGTACTAAGTCATTTACAACAGAAAATTAGTCAGTTATATATGATACATTATGTTTGTCCTCTCTGTCGTTAGCCAATCACAGGTAAATTGCCTAAATACATCTGTTGTATAACACAGAACACTTTAGGCACTGAGTTGATATTCAATGATTAAACACTGTCACTTCATCATGAAAATGATCCTAAAATCATTAAAAAAAGTTTCTGTGAATGCATAAAAGTGTTATATGAACACTTTTATTCGTTTTTGCAAACAAATTTTCAAGATAACCATTGTTTAAATGAATATTTGCTTGTTTTATTTTTTGTTATAGCATGTTGAAAGACCAGATTTAATTGGTTTAGATTTTCTGTGGGATTTATACCTTGCTCTACCATCAAGTGATGCAAGCTTAGATGGTGGACATTCAAATCGTCTAGTAGATCATGAAATATATACCAAGTCGAACCCGGCTATTGATAAGCCGTGTGAAACTAAATCAAGTGTTGGTGACTCATCATCAAAACAACAACAGATTGGAGCATTCAAAGTGTCAACATTCTCGTCATCAAAGTCACCTCTAGATGCTGCAAAACCAGCTAGATTACTTTTATTAAATGTACACTGGGGCCAATTAGCACCAAAGTTAAGACGAGATCCAGAATCATGTTATCGTCGTTTCTTTGATACTTGTAGACGACGATTAGAAGTATGTTTTTGTTAAAAATGTTAATATTTATAATATGGTTTTCAGAAGTTATATGTACATATATATTGCAAACTATCAATAAAACATAAAGACAAAATAAAGCTAACGATCGGGTGGCCGTTATGAAATTCATCTGTAAATTTGAGTCTGGAATTTTATGTTCTAAATGAGGAACCGGTATTGTTCTACTATCAACGTTATCTGAAACAAACGAATGAGCGAATACAACAATTTAGTGAATCAAAAAAGCCCGAAAGTGGGTTGCAAAAGTATATGGGTTTGAATGAAATAGGAAGATATAGTCTGTCTTCAATCAAATCTATAAAATTGACAACACGATCTAAGTGTTGGTTAAAAGCTATGTACCGAATCAGTGTCGGCCATTAATTAAATTCAAGATTGAATTAAATGTCTCCGTTGTCAAATACAAACAAGTGAACTGTTACATAATTTTGATCGATAATCCTACATTTGGATAAACATACTTAAAGTTTGGGTCATATAAAAGCCGGTTGGCAGGGTACCACTACTGATTTTTCGTGAAGTGTGTGTTTGGGAATTGAAGAAATTATTGATTTTGAGATATAGGATAGAACATCATTAATAAATCTTTCGCACATTTTAGTATTGGGTTATTTCGACAGTTTTACAAGATATTCTTTATCCATTATTAAATATTTTTTCATAACTCTTCTAAACAGCTTTCACTATGAAAATACTATGTAATACAAGTTTAATTTGCTTACAATCGTACTAGACTATTTGTGTTCAAGTAATCTAACTACTTATAAGTAGATTATCTGTCTCTTAGTTAAAAGTTTTGTGACAATGTCGAGAATCAGAAATATTTGAAGACCGCTAAAATACATAAAAAAGCACAATATTTCAGAAAAAATTAATATAGACAAATAATGTCGGAAATGGTTTTATTTGTAGAGTCAATCTAAATATACACTAAGATTGCTTTGTTTTTCTTCGAAGCGTGATGTCTGTTGCTAGAGTAGGTTGTAAGTGTGCTTAAGAAAACTAAACCAAGACGACAAGACTATAACTTATGGACGAACCAATCAAATTTAGGATAAAAGGTCTGGATTTTGGCGCGAAATTCACTCACCAATTTGGCCAAATAGCGTCTCAGCATTTTAGCTGATGTCAGTTCGTGATGAAAAACCGTAAATCTAATTCCTAACCCTAACCATCAACTGTGAATTATAATCTTCATTCTTCCAACCCTCATTTGGCACTAGTAAGTAGGTTGACACTCTCAAGGTCACTTTGACGCCACTGAAAGGTCGTCCATAAATTATAGTCAGCACCAAAACATAGCGTCAGTTCACGATGTCATTTGCTGTTTGTTTGAGCCATGTCGATAAGTGCTCAATTCCCGTTTAGAGTCCATGCAATCACTGTGACTAGTCATTAAAATGTTTGTATGACATGAACCACAATCTGTTATAAGTGCGAACATGGATTCACTTTTCCTTAAGATTCAGAACTTTGAGACTTTTTATGCATCCGACCATTTCAAATTATATTTTCATTGCTCAGTCTCTTTTACTTCCATGGGATAATGGCACTTCTTCTACTACTTTAGTACTCATCTAGATAGTTTCCTGTCACTGTTCTGATATTTCGTGGTAATATTTGTACCAGTGCAAATATGTGGCAGGTTTTAAGTTGCTTTTAACTTAATGCCTCGAAGTTGCCAGCCTACATGATGAATTATAAAGCCACGGAATTAAGTTTTTACAACTCTAATTAAAGTTCCTTTCTTTTTTTATTTATGTTGCGATTCATATGATTATTTCACTGCTTGATTGATTGCTTTATTGTATCATTCTGTTTTGATATTTGTAAGAGAAAGAATATTGTTATATAACTTTGTTATTGTAAAATAATTATATCACAAATTTTTGTCGTTGAATATGTAACTGTTAAAAAATTTGAACTATCCGTGACGTCAAATCTTTCGCTTTGTTCAGTTTTAAATTTGTCAGCCAGTTATAATGATATTCTGGCATTCGTAGTCCAGATATGATTGTGTTTTCATAATGTAAGTTTATATTATCAAGGTTCTGAAGGTACAAATCGAGGTGCACTTTGTCTATGAAAGGGATTTACAGTTAACCTTTCGGGAACCTCTAGGACTTTAGCGTTAAGTCACTTAGATTTGTAACTATCATCAGCTATAGGGACCAGACGAAATCTCAGTCCTACAGTAATTTGCTCATGTTTTAATTAGTTTGATGGTACCACCTCTGATTTCATTGCTGGGTAGCGCGTATATGGGTACTAAATGACATCAGTCCCCTCAGGATTCCAGTTACACCTTTCTGATGCATCCCAGGTATCAAGAAATACAGGACCACGGTTTTCTACTGATTTTCTTTAGCCACCTAAAACCATATTCGTATTGTGAACATTTAGGCACTCTCCAGGTTACAAGACTGAGTGGTCACTCATATCTGTACTATAAAGGAATATGTAAATATGTTTAGCATAGTATTGGCATAATACCAGCCATCTATAAAATGCTACTAAGCTACTCTTTGTTTTTTTAGATCATCATTAACTGAAACAAATATATTTTTAAGGAAGAATTCGAATTGACAAAGAATTTATTAGTTTAAATTGTTTTTATTACTTGCCTTCGCAGTTATCTTCTGCCTCCTTACTTTCATTTTGCTTATTTTCACAGACTAACTACGCTTTAGGTCGCGGTTTAATCACTGAATATGGAATCACATCAGTTTTGGCAGAGACTGGCGAATTACTGGCTTCATTGATGCTAGGACTTGGTCCTGCGACTAAAGCAAAACATTGTACTCGTACTGCAGCTAAATTGGCTATACGTCGTTTATTAGGTTTAGTTTATGCATATATTCAATCAGTTGAGGTGTGTCACTTGTTAAGTTTATCTGTTAAACACTTCTGTACTATAATAATTATGCTGTAGCATATATTGAAATCGTAACTACAGTCCACTTAATAATTCACCTTCAGCATACATGTATTCAATAATTTAAACATTGTCAGTTATCAGCTACAATGACCTTTGAGTTTGTTATCCATGGTTTTTCCAGGTTTCTCATTCCAGGTATTACGTTGATTAATCAGATTGTTGGTAAGAAAGCAATAAAAAGCGAAACAACTGTTATTTGTATAACATTGCTTTAGTTTTAGATCTGTAAGAAACTATATTACTGATCGCATTGTTATGTGACTAGAGATGTACGTGTTTCACACTATAAATTAATTTATATATATATATACTAAGAACGGAGTGAATAGATTAAACTGCAAACAAATACATGTTTTGCCTTTCATTATCACCATTTGTTGTTGCAGGTAAGTAGCGTTTTTAAGAAAACTTTTTAATTAACTTATTATTATCACTAGAACCAATGTCATGATTTTTTAAGCCTTGCCATCTTGCGTTGAAACTAATTCATTTTTATTTTTAGAAACTTTCCAGAAAATATTGAAATGTAAGATTATATAGGAAACGATCTGTTGACTACACTTTATTAGTAATATTTATTCACTGTCACTTTTATCTATCTCCCTCTCTTCTTCATCATGTTTTATGAATTTTCACATCTGCTCTCTGTGCTACTTGTTACATATGGGGAACAACATCATACCTTTCTGATAGGCTAGTAGAGTCAAAATATATCGAGTGCATGTGATCACATACCGTCTCGAAGTCAGCCTACAGGAATCTTGTATACCTGAAGCCAAATTGTATAATCACGGGACGTAATGCTTCTATAAATTGTACTTTTATCTGTATATTAGGTTTGTAAAAATCTTATTCTTATACCGAATTGTTTGTCAAACCACACTGATGGATTATGGTGTATGTTGTGCAAAGAAGGAACATCTTTGTGACTCAAAACTTTCTAGCCTTAACTTGTCAAGTTTTAAATATTCTCGTTGCTTTGATATGTGATCTGAAAAAGGATGAAGAAATATTCATCTTGAGGTTATTACTTCTGCCTTGTTGTGTTAACACTGTGACATCTTTAGTAACAGTAACTGCTTACTGTTAGACTTAGTGAATATTCAAACATCACATGTATGAATTATTTATTCTTTTTAATAATGTTACAACGACTTAAAAGTCGATAAGTTATTCTCTGGTGTTGTTAAATCAAACTAACTATTTAATACTCAATCGACTATGACTTTTTGATTGTTCAGTAAACTTAACTGTCAATGAGTTCGTAAAATTGACAGTTAACTGAACAACGATTTGTGAATTATTCTCAAACTTCTTATAGTTTTACTGTTTCTAAACATTTACTGATATCATGTTAGTAAACTATTGAAGTTTGTCAATACTATAATTAATTACTGAACACTTTACTGAAGCATAATTTCAATATCAACTTATGTTTTGTGTTGTTGAATTGAAGCTTGAAATTCTTGAGTACCTAATTTTAATGTCAGTAGTAAATAATAATCAAAGTTGTTTGCAAATGTTCTCAGTTTACTTTGTAATAAATAAGTTGTGTTATTGTAAATTATGGGCCTGTTTGTGTAGTTATATTTTCTTCTCTAGAAGATCTATGTAAATATATCATTTCATTTATGCTAGATTGATATAAGATCCCTCGTTTTATTTATTAAAAAAATAGGATGAAATGTTTGGTTCTCGTGCTCAGTATCCGAATTGGAAACCTCATGGTTGTACTTATCGAGGTTGGGATATGCATTTACTTTTGAATATTGAAACTATTAAACAAGGTCAACCAGTCGTATCTTTAACTAATCCTGTGCCCATAATTGGAAATCAGGTTATGAAGAAATTATCATCATGTTCATCTAATGTATCCAGTAACAATTCACAATATTTTGAAAACCATGATTCTATAGCATTGTTAGCACACTCAAATGAACCTCTTAGTTCAATTAGGGAGAGGGCCAATATTTTGTCGACTGCATATTTATTTGGTTGTCAATCTAAATCAAATAATCAACAGGACACTGGTAAATCTACATCATGGACAATGGCTACTTTATCTCTTCAGAAGGAAACACGACCAAAAATTTCCATTTTATGTGAGTCGAATCAACCGATCGAAAAGACTATACTTTCACATGATGCACCCAGTCAACGGAATGAAATGAGATCAGTTAGTAAACATAATTCCTATGAACTTCTAGATACTGTGTTAAATCGCAAACCTATTGGTGAACTTGGCTTTCAAGTAAGTCATATTTTTTGTTAGACTTTTGTACTGTTCAGTGCAACTATATTTCAGTTTATTTGATTAAATATTTTGTGACGATGTAGCTAATTAAATACAATTCAAAGTTGTTTGGACTTTAGTTTTACTTAAGAATAACTAACCGTTAATGTTTGAGTAGAAGCATATAACATTTATCATACTGCTGAAATGATTGTGAAATTGTTAATTTAAAACAGATATGACTTGATGTTCAGTATTACCAATTAAAATGCATAGACTTTGACCCCTCTGTCAGTCTTCTTTAAGTAGATGAAAGCTATTACACAATTTTTACTTATATATTTATATAGTTCATTTTTTAAATTTTCTTTTCTTAGATTAATCGTCAGTTGATTGTTCGATTTTATACAGAATCTAACAGTCGTGTACGTAATCGTGTTAGTAACATAAGTGCTGTTTCTTCTTCTGCTATTCAAGGTTCATCCAATAATTCACCTTATAATAGTTCATTTTCATTAGCTGGCTCATATTCATCCACGTTAGAATTGACAAATGAATGTTTCAATAATTCTATATTGATTTCAAAAAATTATTGTTTATCAAATGATGAATCTTCTAGTTTTTTAAGTAATTTCCGTAAACGTCTAGAAACATCATCTACATTACAAGTAAATCATCTTATCACTAATGATACATCTGTACTCAGTCTTAGTAATAATAATAATAATAAAATTCTAACTGATTCATCAACAGATTTAAATAATTCTAATCAAACGATTCCTACAACTAATGTTAATATTATTCTACCTAGTGTTTGTTTATCAAATGATTCAGCAGTTTATGAACTATTATTTGAATTAGCTGAATCGGAACTTGCATATCTTAATTCATCATTCCTAATACAATCAAATAGTCGTAATAAAAAAGTCCATTCATCATCTTCGTCATCAAATTTATCATTTGGGGAAACACAATTTCCTTCAACGTTTAGTTTTCTTCATCCTGTACGATTATTATTAGCATGTTTACCAACATACAAATCAATTCGCCATGGACGAAATGGTAATGGTACATATTTACAATATAGTTTAGTATGTAATCCACATATGCTTCTTAACGCTTCACCTTATCGTGTTTTATATAAATTACAAGTGAGTATAGTTTTTTTAGTTGAGTCTTACATAATAATAATAATAATAATAATAATAATAATAATAATAATAATAATAATAGTCCTAATGATGTGATATACTTTCAGACACGTTTTTATTATATTTTTACTTAATTTCGCAATAAGAAGTGAAGCATTGAATCGTTTTAGCAGCTAAACATTTTTCTAACTATTATTCATCTAGCACCATGGACATCATCGCAGTCAGATTAATAGATTAGCCTAACAATCATTGATGTTTTCTGTTTATAGTATTATAGCCTTGTAGTTTTAATAGCTTCTACAACTACTTATATCAGAAGGGGATTCTGTGGATATTTTAGTAATTTCAATAGTTGAGATTTTGAGTCAATTGAAGCTAGACCACTATGCAAAACCTGGAAGCACTAGACGTCCGTTTCGTCCTATTGTGGGACTTCTCTGCAGTGCGCATCCGCGATCCCGCCTCGCAAGATTCGAACTCAGGACCTGTCTAAAAATGTTTATCTGCTTAAACGATTCAATACTTCACTTCTTATTGCGAAATCAAGTAAAAATGAAATAACAACGTCTCTGAAACTACATCATATCATTAAGACTCATAATCTTGACTGTTGAACTAACTATTTATATCATTCTTTTTTCCGTATTTCTGCTTCATTGTTTACTCTTATAAATTTTCTCACTTTTATGTTATAAAGCTCGAAATTTGCACCTGATTTTCTCAAGTTCTTTCAACTGGACTATCAGTATCTCTCAAACCATACATTTTTGTGATGGTTAGTCAACTTCATTAAAGTGGAAAACAGAGATTCCATCACTTGGTTTCCTTGCAGTTTTAAGTGCTCGATATATATACCAGTTGGATAGATGTTTTCAAAAATAACCACATGGAAGACTGAGAATAGAAGAAACATATTTCAAGAATTCTGAATATCAAAATGTTTGTGATATAAAAAGAGAATAAATAACCATATAAAGAGGCTTGGAAGAAACGAAGTAGTTATGCGAAACATTAGTCATCACGTTCATACTAAGCCAATAGTTGATTGTTAAGAATAATCTTTTTATTTTTTAATTTCAGCTTTTGAGTTCTGCGTTGATTCCTTTGGACACAAGTCCATGGTGGGAAATCTCCCCAGGATGTTTACTCTCACCTCCGTCTTCAACTTACTTAATATCTCAACCTCTTCCGATGTCCATTATCTCAAGAACTCATAAAGAATTGGAATCTCTTTCAGTAGACAGTAATCCTAGATCAAATTCAGCTAGTAGAAGATCTCATTCTCGTACTTCACCTATAAATGGTGATTGTAAATCTAATTGGTTTCTGTCTGTTGATGCAATAAATACAAATTCACAAGTAATAAATTCAACTTCAGCGCCATCTTCACCAGAAATTTCTCCACGTCGTCGTCGTCGTCTTAAAAAGCTAACTTCCTTCACACTTTCAAGTGATATTTTCTCTTTCAAGGGGAAGTCTCACAAAGATGGTAAGTTTTGACTTTATTTTTTAAATAGATAGATAGATGAATCCATTGTTGGTGGAGGAATGAGTTTTGTTTTACTTAAACTACAAAAGGTTATTGTTATTATTCAGATGCTGGACATGATTTCCAATTCTTTCCTAATTTCTTAATGAATTTTTTTATTCAACGAAAAAGTCCAGTTTCATAGCTTTTCTTTTATGCCAGACTGTACTATAAAGGCGAAAATACGTATAATTAGCTGAATAGTTTAATTACGAAACTTTTAAAACAATTAGTCCCTTTGATAAATTTCGATATTGCAATGAGAAGACATCCCACTTTATCTATCAATTTACATGTATGTGTGGAAACACGTACATAAGGAGGAGCAATCGTGATCTGCAATTAATGGTGAGTGAATGCATACCAAAATGGCTGCGGATACAAATGAATTCCAATGGTCAATTAAGATCACGGGATAGACAGACATCTTCCTCCATTGCGAAACATTTGATTGAGACTAGTCATAAGGTTGACATCAAGTCAGTATTTGTAGTGTTGTACAAAAGCTTCCAAGGACGTATACTAATGTTTATTGAAGCCTTGGCTGCACAGAAACTGAAACCTCCTTTATGCGTTCAAAAACAATTTGTCTTTACCCTTAACCTACCTTGGTAATACTGATTTATTATCCAGAGTGGTTATCACATTGTTTTTGTGTACTTTATTTTTTCTTTTTACGGTTTACCTTTAACCTGTCTGGTTGACCTTTTAATTTTCATATAAAAATGTCTTAACAAGTATACGTATGGTCAGATTGTTTGAAATGTATTGCGCAAATATATCACATAATTCTGATAAACTTTGTCTTCTCATTACGAAACTTTTGTTGTAATTCTGGACAACATCCTCAGAACAGGCTTACTTGTTACTGGTGGGGATGATTTCAATTCCCTCTAAAGTTGACGCTAATAATTTTGTCTGAAACGCAAAAGAAAGGTCTTCAAATCAAACCGTCCTGCGTAAATATAATAGAAAGAATTGAACTAGAACCTGTAAAGTACTGAATTCAAGTTGAGGTTAGAGCTAATGATATCTCCAATGACAGTGAAAATTTTCAAGCTCAGTAAAAACAACATATTTAAAAAAAACATTCACTTGAACCGTACACTTGTTGATTTCATTTAACAACTTCTAAATGACGGGTTAAAGATATGTACTCTGTAGTCGTAAGAGAACTACTAAAATTCCGAAATTGTCTTTATGAACAAATACAAACTGAAATTATAAGCAGAGATGAATGGTGGCTGGCATTAAAATCCAGGACGCTCGTTTCGTTTTATATGGGACTTGTCATCTGGAAGTGCCAGCATCCCAGATTTGATGTTCAAACAATTAACACAAAAATGAATTAAATACAAACTAACTTAATCTCCTTTACTTAATTCTAATACCTACTTACTTATTTATGTTTGTTAGCCCTCGTCGTGGAGCATAGGATATCCCGAACAAATTTGTCTTGGGCTCTCATTTACAGTTGTTTCCATTTTCTATTTAGACTTTTGATGTCTGCTTCCAATCTCCGGCGCAATGTTCTTTGGTTTTCTGCTTTTCTGTTTCCCTTCAGGATTACAAGTTAACGCCTACCTTATGATACAGTTTGGTGATTTCCGCAACGTATGTCATATCCACTTCGATTGTCTTTTCCCAATTTCCTCTTCAGATAAAAGCTGGTTTGTTCTCTCCCACAGTAGGTTGTTGTTGATTGTATCCGGTTAACGGACATTAAGTCTCATGAGTAGACAACTGTTTATAAGTACTTGTACTCTCTTGATAATAGTTTTGGTGGTTTTCCAAATTTCAGTTCCATACAGTAGAACTGTCTTGACGCTCATATTGAAGATTCTGACCTTGATATTGGTTGAAAGTTGTTTTGAGTTCCATATGCTCTTCAACTGTAGGGATGCTGCTCTTGTTTTGCCAATCCTTGCCTTTACTTCTGCATCGGATCCTCCTTGTTCATCGATGATGCTGCTGACCGGCTACGTGAAAGTTTGCACCTATTCCAGAGCCTCTCCATCAAGTGTGATTGAGTTGGTATTCTCCGTGGTGTATTTAAGGACCTTGCTTTTATCCTTGTGTATGTTGAGGCCTACTGATGCAGAAGCTGCTGCTACACCGTCTTTCCCCACCTGTACGTGTTGGTGTGTATGGGATAAAAGAGCTAGGTCATCTGCAAAGTCCAAATAGTCTAGTTGCATGCAAGCTATCAATTGTATTCCATGCTTCCTTTCAGATGTGGAGGTCTTCCTAATCCAGTCAACCACCAGAAGAAAGAGGAAAAATCAGAGTAAGCAGCTTTGTCTGACACCATTCCTCACCTGGAATGCATGGGTTAGATGTCCTCCATGAACGACTTTTCAGTGTAGTCCATCGTATAAATTCCGGATGATGTGGACGATCTCAGGTATACCATAATGTTGGAGAAGTTTCCATAATGTTCTCCTATCCATATTGTCAAGTGCCTTCTCATAGTCAATGAAGTTAATATGTAGTGACGAATCCCATTCAATTGATTGCTCAACGATGATCCGTAGTGTCGTGATTAGGTTTGTACACGACCAATCCTTACGGAATCCAGCCTGTTAGTCTCGAAGTTGGCCATCTACTGAGTCTTTCATCCGGTCCAGTAACATTCTGTTTGAAAAATGTTTCTGTTACAGACAGTAGTGTAATGCCTCCGTAGTCCTCACATTTGCTCATACCCCCTTTCTTCGGTATTTTGATGAGGTGTCTCTCTCCATTCTGTCGGCACTTGTTCTTACTCCCAAATCTTCCTTAATAGGACGTGAAGCATGTTTGCAATTGCTTTCATGTTTAATTTCAGTGCTTCAGCTTACATACTTTTTCCCACTCTTGATTCATCTGATGGCCATCCTGACTTCTTCGACGTTGATGGAGTGACACCCTCTCTCTTTACCCAGCATTGTGACCGGCAATAACCCTAGGGGAAGTACGGGCGGAGTTGGTTCTAATCTATGTTACTTAGTAAAATTTCGGTAGCATATAGATATTTGTCAGTAAAGAACTATTATTGGCATTCTCGTATATTTCAAAACAGAAATAATCTAAATCATCACACGATTAAAAAATTAATGTGTGATTTATGACTTCTTTTTTCTCCTTCTGTGTATCCATAGTTTACTGGATAATTTGCCTATTATAGTAATCTTTGATTCGCTTAAGCAATTGATTTAGTTATTTAAAAAGTCAAACTCGTCCGTTTAATTAACAACAAGTAGCTTTTTGTTTTGAGATGGAGAATTTTGTGCTAACGATGTCGTTCAGAAGAATGATGAAAGCTCCACGACCAAACCATCCAGCTCAGAGAACAAAACTTCACCAAAAAGCTTTTTGTTTGTTGATCAGTATGAAAAAAATAGACTTGTTGATCTTGTAATTACACATACAAATTAAACAACATATCTATTTATCCACATATTTATAATTTGAATAATTTACTCATATTTATTTGAATATTTATTTATATTGTTGGTTCTCACTCTTTAGTGCCGAAAGATTTAAATCTAGTAGCTGACGCTCCACTTATTGAATATCTTGAAGCATTAGTTCAATTACTTGAGCGAAATTTAGTTCCCTTATCTGTCGAATCACCTTATAAGTCTACGAATTCTGTCAAAAAGCATATTTCTGCATTTCCATTTGTATTGCGATCCAATCATATTCGTCGTCAATGCATTACTAATGAACATGAATATTTAGCATCTAATATTTCACAGAATACAGCTAAAGATAATGCTAATTGGTGGAGGCGTGAAGTGAGACATTTGTGCTTACAGTTGCTAGCTTCTTTGTTAAATCCAATTACTTTAGTGAATAATGATGAATTCACAACAACTGGTAAGTGTTAGTATTTCTTTCATTGGTTGATATCAGCGAGAGATTACTTTATATATAAGGCATTCAACTTTTAACCATTCTCTAACTTGGCTTCACATATTTTCAATTTGTGTACTGGGTTTTATTTCTGGCTCTCGCATGCATTAATCAGTAGATAATTACACAGTAATTTACCTATTTGTTAACGTTTCCGTTAGTCAGAACTGTCGTTAATACGAATTAAACTAAATTCACTGCTTTACATAGCATGTTTTGTTTAGTAAAGATAGGCGTAAGATGAAACAATTGTGTCATCAATCTCAATGTTAAGCAAATAATAATCGATAAATGTAGTGGAGCAATCAAGGAAATAATGAATCTCCTTCAACTGAATGTATTAGGATATATGTCACAGATGCTCATTAATCTGCTTTCTAACCGCTTAACGTGCTTCCAGGTTTTCAGTAGTGGCCTAAAATTGTTCGGTTCATGATCTCAATAAAAAGTAAACTCAATAGCATTTATAAAATCAAACGAATTCACTCTTTTTCATGGGTCTTTACCAACTATAAACTGCCTAAAAATTAATGAGTAGTTATGCAAGTAGTAAGTAAAAGATCTGATATACTTTAATCAGTGAATTCGAAATTGATGTTAGAAATGTAACTGAAAATTACAATTAAAAAATAAGATACGCAAAATCTTATTGATGTCTAACATATTAATTTGATGATAAGAAGCATCGAATAAGAATTATTCATTTTCTTCTGTAAATTTTATTATTCATACCCTATTTAAATTTATTACGAAATAAATTTACTTAGAATTTATGGTTGGTGATAGTGTCCTAAATAATTGTTGCTCTTCACCGACACGTAATTGTACCCTGAGAAAAAAACCATAATTTTTTTTACAAAACATGGAAAGCGACAGTACAGCTAAACATGTTATTTAATGTTCTTTACTAGTGTCTCTAAAAAGTAATTAGTTTGATTGTAGTATCGGCGGTCTTACTGCTTATGCTTGGAAATGGGAATCATTTGAATTTCCACTACGCTAAGAGAAAATATAAAGAAAGATACAATTGAAGATTTATTGACTCTCCAAAATGTGATGTTGAAACAGATAGAATAATTTATATATTGGTTTTACATACAATTGATGACTAGTTAATAAACATCATATAAGTGTAAAGATACATGGGATAACTGTAAAACATGTACAAAGTTCACACAGAATAATACAATGAATGTAACTGTCACACTGGACGAAAGTTCATACTTGTCAAACTGAACAAAATTCACATTCAATTATTACAAAATATATTCATCTAAAACAATGATACACTGAAAAACAGAACTAGAATATCATGCTGACTAAAATATTACACTTCTAATAAAATCATTGTCACACTGGAAATGGACTAATATTATATTCAATAAAATGTTTCGTTAAGAATAAATACTATGTCAAACTGTTACATTGTAAATAGAAATTATCATGAAATATCACCCTAATTTAGCGAAAAAAGGCTGAAATTGCCCTTTTGTCCCAACTTATCACTATCTAACTAAACTTCTAAACTTTTCACTAAAGATTGGACATAAATATTCCTTTAAAAACAATTCTACGTGTCATTACATAAGTATTATTTTATTCTTTCAATAATGTTCACTACTAATTTATCTGTTGTTTTCTTTTTAGTTCATAAGTTGTACAATCAAAATATAATGTCTGAACCAATCTATACTATACCATCTGATTCAGTTGTATATCAAATAACTCCTATATTAGCATACAATCTATTGAATAATTTATTAGATACTGCATTAATCGATGCTGGTGTCGACATTGAATTACTTCATTCTAATAATTCATTTACAAAACAACACTCACAAGAATTACTCAATAATTTTTACTATTTATCTATGCCTAAATCGTACATGTTTTTACCACATGTTGATAGTAAATCAGGTATTGCTGGTGTAATTGAAGAAATCTCTTATTTTGGACGAAAAATTCTATTTCAAGATGTTGAAGTAAGTTAATCATATACCATACATACATATGTATATCAGATAAATTTATCTTTTAAAAAGCTCATTTTAACTGCTTGCATATTTTTCGTTTCTTTTTATATCAATCCTGTTTTTCTATTTTACTTTAGATCAGTGTACAATGTATACGATTATATTTTCAATGTATCATAGCCTATCCATGTATATTTGTTGATGCTGTATTGAAGTCAACGAATTTGGAGAATAAGTTTATACAACTGTTAGTGTACTCCTCATCTACAAGGTAATTTAAAAGAGAAAAATTCAACTTACTGTTAATTTATGAAATTTTTTAATAATATTTAATGCGAAAAGCTTTTCATATAATTTTACTGTACAACTTTTGGATTGACTGTTGAAATTGGACAATTATGGAGTTTTAAACTATTAAGGTTGACGTTTTTCATTTTAATTTTTCAGATAATAACAGTTTGTAAACGCTGGTCAATAAAGTGTTCTATTAAGCATGGAATGACATCATTTTTCTATTGACCCCTTAAACATAACAGTCTGTTGTCATTTTATTTCCCTCTCGAATCTTGGTTCATTCTGCCTTCAAATTATTTAGTTACTTCTAATCATTTGTTATTTCTTTTTATCAGTCAAGTGAACTCAAAACAATATCAAGTTTACTATTTGTTTTGTATATTGAGCTTTTGATACTTTGGTTGATTAGTAAGAATATGCATATAAAATGGAGCACTATGCGTATATATGGACATGGATATGATCATTTCTTTATTATTTTAATTTATTTTAGAATAAGAAATGAAATGGCTCGTCAACTGGAACAGTTGTTCATTCTTGTATCACCTTTCCTTTTCACTGGTCCTTCTTGCTATACCAGAAATAATTCATTATCTGTTTCGCATACATCTCACTCTTCGATTTGTTCACTTCACGGTTATATTCGTCATCCTGAAATTCTAAATCTGATTCTTAAAACCATACTCAATACACGGTTACCATTTTTTGATGTGAAACTAGACATTATGTCACTACCGGCAGTAAATATTTTAATTAGCCAATGTGCAGAATATTTTCGTGTACGTGGCTTTTTACTCGGTCAAACACCTCCTCAAATTCTTAAAACAAATTTCAATACTGATCATATCACTATTCTTCAAGTAAGCTTTACTTAATTGATTGTGGGCTACGTTTTTTTACACAAGTAATTGCCATGATGAAACATTGATTTCGTGTGTAAATTTAAAGAAACATTGTACAGTGGTTGAACAATTGGCTTCTGTAGTGTAAATTGATTTATGATAGAGTTGCATGGTAGTGAAATTGACGGCTTAGTTGTTTATCATCCATATGTTTTTACACATGCTTCTTTCCAAAAAGACATTTTGTAAGGCACTAGAGGTAATAATGTTTAGTGTACAAAATGTCTATTATAATCCTAAACAGTTATTAATATAATTTTATGTGAACATTGAATAAACAGATACATTAGCTGATATATCCACTTTACCTAACTAACTGTGGGCTAAAACCTGTTGGTTGGACACAAAATGTTTAAAAATCACCTCGGTAACAATATAGACTAATTTACAATTGATTGATCCCTTGGTTTGACCAATGACATTTGTGTCAGGTCCTTCTTATTGCAGGTCAAATTCTATCGACCAAGTTGTAATGTGACCACTAGCCTAGGTAACTCGACAGCGCGTGCACTATGTTGGCTAGAGGTAGTGGACAGGAAACCTTTGACCTAGGTTTGGTGCTATGTGGCACTCAACAGCAGTGTGTACGCGTAAACTTGAGGGAACTGATACCCCTTGAATAGCTCAGTGGTAATGTCTCTGAATGTGAATCTTGTTGACACGAGATCAAAATCACCAGGGAACATCAGTGTCCTCAAGATTACGGGTATACGTTGCTGATGAGTACCAAGTAGCGTGAATCCTATGCCCATGGTTTCCTCTCGACCACCTCACATCTAAATATAGACTAGTAACATATTCAACTTATACACTTTACATGCCTTGAAAAAATTCAATGAAATTTTTGTGTGATTAAGGTGGTTCTTACAGAGGCAATATTTATCACAATTGTATAAAAGCGCGTGGTGATTTCGACCTTTCAAAACTGTTTGTTTCAACCTTATTTTGAAAATGACGGAATTTAGTCATATTTAGTTAGACGTGTCTTGAATAAAAATTGAGAATCGTTTGCGACCATAAGCGAAATCACCGTACTTTATTCAAGGTGTTTATAAATAAAATCATTTGTAATATGTAACCGGAGTAAATTTTAATTTGCACGAAGCAACTATCCGTTATTAAAATGACAATATAGGAGGTGCGTAATTGTTCCTTGTGAATTCGATATTTTTTCCCCACATATTTTGAACTGTGATCAATTCAATTCGTGAAAGATGCTAACCGTTTAACTAATACTGTTCATATGTTTTGTCGTGATAACTGAAGAATTGAAGGCCAGTATGTTTGCACAGTAGTATAATGAATGAGGACGGTTTATTGTTCGAAACGTAAGGAATACCAGATTTTTGTCTCTATTAATTGATCAATATTGGATTGTGTAAATAAATCTAGTAGTTAGAATTGTAAAAAAAATCTAGTTTTGTAAACTCTTTTTTAGAAATTTCTCAATAAATTGTTATCATTTTGTAAGTAATGTGACATTTTTTTCTTTCGAATACTTACTTTCTTCTTACAATACAATTTTTTTGTAGAATGATTTACTATGGTTTAAAAAAATGATGGATTTTGATGATAAAAATATGCAATACTATGAAAATCAAATACTCAATGATTGTCTACTAGCTGGTCATTTGAATTCAATTCGTTTAATTTGTGCTCAATCAATAGCATGTGTCACTAGTCATTGTCAATGTACATTGAATCATCATTTATTATCCAATGGGGGGTTAACACCAATTATTGATAAACCAGCATCTAAAATAAATAACCGTAGTAATAATAATAATAATAGTAAATTGAATTATTTAAAAAATGGATTTATTACTAACATTAATCATTTATTACCACCGATACAGTTATTAAAAGCAATGAAAAATCCAGATATACTTGTAATTAATATGAAAAATGAAGAAACTAATTCACAGACAATGTTAAATAAAGAATTTACAGAAAACAGAATACGTATTCACTCTTCTGTTGCGTTAAAATTAGCAGTTGATTGTATACAAATAACAAGAGATTTTATTTATTATCTTATTGTAGAATGTTTATTCCCAGCAGCTAGATACTTACTTTCAGATCAGAATGCTAAAGATTTATCACTGTACGCTCCATCAAATGGACAATTTTCTAAACGTGAATGTTTACGAAGAAGTTTATCAATTTTATTTAAAAACCGTAACCTTCCACAATTTGATGTTTTTAAGAGCCTCCGACCTATGACTAAAGAAGTATCATTGTCATTTTTGTGTTTTGTATGTCGCATAGATTGTCAAAGTTTAGAAAAGGTAATTACTGCTTTGATTCTTCTCAAATAGTTATTTTCTTTATCAGTATATAGGGTGCTTATATAATCTTATTTGTTAGATTGTAAAAAAATAAACCGCTAACTTGGGACACAATGTATACTACTGAAAGCATTATAACTAAATGTAATCATGCGTTACCTCGTCTTCGATAAAAAGAGCTTGCTGTTTAGTCTTTCAAATTATATGCAGTGTATCCAGGTGACATGACCGATAATTGTAGATAAGGAATATCTCTGTTTAATCAATAGGTATCATTAGTATGTTGGAAAAGTTAGTATTTTGGGCGAATTATTTTATATTCAATAAGTCCTGTTTTTTTTTAAATCAAGGAACTTATTTTTATTAAAGTCCACAAGGTGCATTGTAAAAATATTATAAGAGTGAAGTGTTTCATTTAGTGTAGGTGGCCATTGTCACGCAAACTCACTAATTTTGAGTAGGTACTTTGAGAAAAATTACTGCTGTTTAGAAAAGTGGCTGTAAACTATCTAATAATGATTTTATATACATTCTATTTAAAATAACTTGTGAATCAAAATAACCGTTTGCCTTTGTTTTGTCCGCATCGATAAGCAATTTCTCTCTGCTTAGTTCTTTTATTACGTAACTATGATGATGAAAAATTATTTCGTTCTCTTACCGCAGCAATATAATCTCTCACTTGAATTTGGCGATAATACGGCTTGACCATAAAACTATCTAGGTTCTATGAAATGAACGCATATTCAACCAATTTATCACTAAAAAATCTTTTACTATGAGAACTACTGGCTATTTAAACATACCAAATAATCAAAAGTTATAAACACGACCGAAATCTCATGTTTACTTTAGAATATGCCGACAAACTGTTTTACAATAGATCACTTGGTTTTTTTTTCCTATTGAATACGTTGCCCATTTTTAATATTCTCGATTGAATTGATTAATACATATTTTTTATTTTCAAAATCTATGACAGTTTGTGATTTTTACTTAACTCATTGGTGCTCAACATTTTCTTTTTCAAGAATTTAATTTCTCTTTTTTATTTTTACTAGGTTGTTAATCTACTAATTTTACTACACCATTCACATAAATCAGATCAGATTAGTTCTGAAATTGGTACACATACTTCGATATTGCCTAATTCAATTCAAACATCATCTGAAATAGTACTTGATCATAGTTCATTTAAATCTACTACAGAAGAATTGCTTCATAAGCAACATAAAGTTAATACAATACCAAATATAATAGGAAAAGTAAGTTGATAATAGTATGAAGTCCGCTATTCTTATTGATATTAAGGACTGATTTTTGATTAATCATTATTTGCTGTTGTATATCCAATGTGCATCTCATTTATCTAATCAAAGATTAATCATTCTACCGTCGTAACAATGGATCATTCAAACACTTACTTATAATGATATTAACAACATACACAGTGGAGTGAACATTTGGATTGAAATTCAGGCCCACCCAGCTGAGTTCAAAATTAGTCAAAACGCTTGTCCTGGATTATACTACTAGCTAAAATCTATCTTTTGTATAAATTTTTAATTGTTTTAAACAGTCGTTTTACTTAATTCATAGATAAGTTAACTGAATGAGTCATAAATAAATGTCAAGTGTCCATCGACACATAAGCCATGAGATGAGTACTTCAAAGAATAATTTTCATTTCAGTGATTGTCCTTGCAGAATTGCACAATTCCACTTATATGTAGGATTACAATAATAATTTTTAATATGTTTATTTATACATCAGAATAATTTATTGAATACAGTAACTAAAAATAACCAAACAAATAAATATACAATAATGTATTACTCTTATTGAATTTTTGATCATGAAATAAAAGTTTGAAAAGCTTATCCAAGGATATTACAAAAGGTAAATATCAAATAATAATTATAAATAGGGATTGGAGTTCAATATTGCATAGGTTTATTATGTTTATTTACTTGTCAATGTTTACTGGTTGAAGCATTTGTCGCGTATGGATCTTATAAGGCAATGAAAATTGTAAAATAGGATACCAGGTTATGTATTAATTACTACTGAACTTGTGAATTTCCGTTTTGTTGATTGATGGATTATTTGTGAAAATTGTTGTATCCTAGTAAAGATTAAATTACAGGTAACTTCCGAGGACTATTAATAGACTAATATTCTGTGAATATTATTATTGTATAATTATTCAATAATTATATTATGTATATTTATATTCCCCTTATTATAAGCTTCATTTTGATCTATAATTTATTATTATACGACGTACTGTCCCTAAATTATGCTCAGTTTATTAACTACCGCCTCCCACGTTCACAGCCACTTTTTGGCTTTATTGTGTACAAATATTATTTCCTACCTTATGGTGCGTTGCGATCTGTTTGTTTGATATACAAGCACAGTATGTTTGAAATATATGATTCATATTGCAGAAGTTGGTATTGTGTTCTGGACACAAATGGACGGGCTAGGAGGTCGCTAGACTGCTCATACCGGTTGAACGTCATTGGTTTGGCATAGTGTTAAGATTGTATAAGTCGTATTTTGACTGGTGGATAAATCACGTGATAAAAAGCCGGACATAATATCATAACAAAAATAAATTTATAGAACCTTTATTTCTGTCAGTGCTTTAATATTATCTCTTGTTAATAGGGGGATCTGAAATCAAAGATTTATGCATTTCATTGCTTACTCGAATGACGATGTTATGTCTTGTCGAATTTCTTTGCTAACCATCATCAATTTATTGATTTACACAAGTCTGTATTAATTTTGATTTTTCTTTAAATATATTTCTCTTCATAGAATTTTAATGGTTTAATATTCTTAATTTATATACACATAATATTATAGGCTGGTGTTCATTGGGATGTTCAACCTGTTGTAGCTGGACGAGCAAAATGTGGATTTGTTGGTTTACGTAATGGTGGTGCAACATGTTATATGAACTCAGTTCTACAACAATTATTTATGCAACCGGGTGTACCGGAAACATTATTAGCTATTACAGATACTGATGATACCGATGAGAAAAATATTCTGTTCCAAACTCAACAAGTCAGTTTAAAATGTAGAGTATTTAATGTTTGAAATTGTAATTGATTAGTCTCGATAACATCATTTAGTCACAAATATTTTAATCAGAGATGGATGGTAGCTAGCAATGGAGCCCAGGATGAACATTTCATCTTATTTGAAACTCACTGTCAGCTGGATGTATCTGTAATTTCATTATTTACTGTTTATTGTTTTAATATTTCATTTAGAGTGAAAACAACTTTATGCTAAAGTAATCCCATCATTAATATATAATAACGTTCTATCCAAAATGGTTAGGATAAGTCATTGTACATAAATTGTAAGATGATCTGCTAAAGATTGATTTCAATTATGAAATAACAGATAATCTTTTATCTCTGAATACTTGTGGTTATATGGAATAGGGTTATTGTACATAGAGTTATTTAAAATTGTTAGTATCTTAATCCCCTTCATTTTCTAGATACGTAGACATATATATGAACATTAAAACCTCACAGTGCAAATGTACATTACTTTACACACTATAATTGTAATGTTTATAGCATAAAAAGTACATGATAAATTTATTAATCAGAAAGAGAAGATGAAATTTTATATTTTTCAAGGAACGTTTTGTGCAAACAAGTAATGATTAGAATTCTCAAGTTATTTGCGTCGATGGTGAAAAATTGATATATAGTCAATGTATTTGTTTTGTTGTAAGTAATCACTGTGAAAAATGTAATTAAATACAGTATTTATACTCTTAATACAAATAGGATATTTTATTTACTGGATTTGTATGTAGGTGTAGGTTAGTTATTTCTGAATTATCAGCCATTATCATTTTTAGCATGGCAATAATTTGTTTTATATTACTTGTCTAAACAATAATATAAGTTACTAACTGAATTTATAGGAAAAAAAACAGAGGAAGATGTTTGGGTAAATACTTACGGAAGTAAAAATTTCAGTCCGTCTAATCAACATATTTAATTCATACTTCATGTCGATGAAATTAAAAGCGAACATTATTATTACACTAATGATTTGTTTTAGAAGACGATCTGTGTTTAATTCTTTTTAAAGTTTAACTTGAAACAAACTTTGTTTTTGTTTCCTAATTTCAACGGTGGTGTGAATATTAAAAGGGAAGTAAATCCAACGTTTCGCCTAGCAATCTAGTCCAAGATTTTTCAAGGAAAATTTACTTCAAATTCTTTCTCTGAGATTTTACAAATACATTCTTCTTTTTTAATGTCTCACATTAACTCGGCGCCAAAATATTGTGAACCTATTCATTCAAATTTAGACGAAAGTTCTTTTTGGTGGTGTGAATAATTAGTCGATCATTACATGTACCTTTTTAAAAGTTATTTTCAGTTGAAAAATAATTCATAATATGATATGATTGTAAATATCATTATTAATGTTTTTTATTTGATAATTTTAAATAAATTAACTATTGAGTAGTTTGTTAATTAACAATAACACTAAACTTACAACAGAAAAAGTTAGTTATATTCTTATGGAGATGACACGTAAATCAACTGTGAAGATATTTATCTAGTTTTTACTGATATAATGCTGAGTTATGTTTTATCATCACCCTGTCATTTCAGTAATTAACTTCTTTACGAATCTACGGGTTTTTTTGTTGTTTCTGTTATTGAACGAACTGTAAACTCAAAAGCTAATGATTGTTTTTTTCAAAACAAGATATATTTAAATAACACAAATTAAACACTAATTTACTCTATTTGAACACTATCGTAAAATCGTTTTTGTAAATCATTAACTTAATCATGAAATACGTTAAATATTAGTGTACTGAACAAGAATACGAGTGAGGACAATCAAATGTATTTGACATGAAATTACAGAGCATCTCACTAAAATTTGAGAACCATATAGTAAAGAGTTATTTTGCAAATATCAGTCCATTGTCTCAAATTTCATTGTTCATGCATTTTCATACCAATTGCGTTCCGTTCCGTTCCCGTTTTTTCTTTATAGGTCTTTTACTGAAATGCATTCTATGTCTGACTGCAGTTATATACTACTTATGTGGATATAAGTAACCCATACCACAATAGTATATCTGGAAGTTATAACGTTTTCACTAAACAATTTAACGCAACCACTGTTTATCAGATTGTTAAAATTTATGGTGTAACATTAAAATTTGTTTAACGTTAAGACTAAATTTACTTTATTCGTTAAGTAAACAAACATCAGCTAAATATTGACGTGGTTTTTTTCGTTTTTTTTTCATGAATACGTATAACTTCGATTTATAGTCCTAAGAAAAGAAAATTTTAAATAATGCTAAATAAATTTTAAGAATTTATTTCAAAGTTAGTTGACATTGTTTAAATGAAGAAGTTATCATATTGAAAAGTTACGTCACGAAACACTTCTATTTGCCGACATCAAATCATCAAGAAATTTGAACATTAATAAAGGAATTTCCAACATTCGTGCATTTTGAAAGCCACCACTCATGTTAATGTATCGCATGTTCACAAGTAATTATGTATATACTTGTATGCATATAGTCAGGCCGATATCATAAAATCTATTTCATCTCTACCCTAAGATTCTAAATACAAGATATGACTGGACAATTTGTTCATTTTTGTTTACTATACCTTTTCTTTCTTCAAATGATATTATTTTCATCTTTATTTATTATTAATGTGGTCGGAATTATATATCGGAGGTGAATATACTGGAAAATGGTTGCGCAGCATCACTAGTTGATGGAAGTTAACAATCTGTGGGATTATGAGTGTGTACTGTCAAGAAGTCGCAAACTAGTACGAAATAATCGTCTAGTGCTTCATAGTTTTCAATAGTTATCTAAGAGTCAATCCGTGATGTAAACATGAAAACTCAACAATCTCTACAAACCTCTCAGACTGATATAACTTTCAATTTTTTTAAGCAGAGATGGATGGTAACTAGTGGTGTGATTCAGAATGAGCGTTTCGTCCGATTAGGGAAGCATCAACTGGATGCTCCTTGATCCCAGAGTTGGTGGTAACTCCCGGACTTCAACGTAGTACCGTTCGTCCCAAACATATCCATTTATATCCCAAAAGGGACTGATCAACTGCAGTCCTAAACATCAGTGGGAAAATTGGGACAATCAATATTATATATATATATATATATATATATATATATATATATATATATATATCGACCTACATAAGTAGTATGTATCGGCAGTTGAAAGTCGAACGCCTGGGGGCAGAAGCTTGAGAAAATCGAAGCGAAGAGAATGAGAACAGAGAGGTGTCGGTATGGAAACGAAGGAACGACAAAGTCTGAGACAATTAATGGATATTTCGGAAATGAATTATTTACTATATGGTTCTTAGATTTTACCATTATATTCTGTAATGTTTTGTAATGCACTTGGTTGTCCCACTTGTGTTCAGTTTCACTACAAATATCAATTGGTTTGTTGTGAGTTTATTGTTCTTTCGTTTCTCAACTCCTAGTTATTTGGTCACTTACTTGAATCTCAAATACAATATTATGATCCAGTTGGGTTTTGGAAAAGTTTTCGACCATGGTCAACCGACGTTGAAGTGAATCCATATGAACAACAAGATGCGTTTGACTTCTTTCAAGCCTTAATTGACCAATTAGATGATGAATTAAAAGTAACTATCTTTTAAATATTTCCTTATTACTATTATAATTGGTTTTATTCATCTTGTTCAAAATGTTTTAAATTTCGCTCTGTTAGTTTACATAAAACGAGTTTTGTTAACTTTCGTCAGACAGTCGAACTAATTCTGTTTAGTGATGAGTTATTTAATTTATCCATTCCTCGCTCTTAGTACGTGTGTGTGTAAATCAACAAAACCTTAATATCCTTTTCTCTACTATTAATGTCTTCACTATGGTTAACTCATATGTGTTCACAGTAGTTCCAAATCTTCACACACTGATTGACTCGTAGGTTTTAGATTGAGTTTTTGAATTATTTAGGGTTTCTACCATTTTCTTGGTTTCTAATGTTTTTGTAGACACTTTTACACACTAGATATGAGACTGACCATTACTGAGTTTCAAACCCAAATGTCATTCAGTACATGAAATCACTGTTACAATTACTTTCTAATTTTGTGAACTTAATAAAGGTCAACTAGTCAGTTATAGTATAAGAATAAATATCATTTTATAATAAATAATAAATGATATGAATTCAAGTTCAAACAAAATATTCAATACACGTTTGTAAGTTCAACTAACAAAATTTTTACACATACACAACAAATCTTTGTTTAGTAAGATTAATTAAATATAAGCCTGTTCGCTAAATAGAATGTCATAGACAATAGACAATTATAACAAAAAAAACTATTGTAAAACGTATGCGAACTTCGTTTATAAAAGAACACGACAATAGTTATATCTGATAGTATATTCTCCATGTTTTACTTCACGTTGGACATGTGACGTAATAAGTGAATAATAGCTCAACTGTTAGTATTTTTGATACTAATTATTATTCCTACTAAATTAGAAATTTATAAAGATGAATCAGTTTAAAGAAAGTTTACATCGTGAAATGAAGTCCGTACTGTTTGTTAGTTTGGAAACCTTCGACAATTTACGTTCATGGCTCCACATGATATCTGACCATTCACCTAATTTGTAGTGTTCATTCAATAAAATTGGCGATATCTATCTAGGACTCTCGTTGAACTTTAAACAATCACAGCTTAAAATATTTTGTTCATTTCTATGATGATTAAAGGTCGTATCTATTTAAACAGAGTTTGTTTACTTTTGATAAGTCTCACTTGGATCTAGTCTGTATGTTTTTTTAAAATATGACATGTATCATTTCATCGGACAATATAATAAGAATATAACTCAAGTACTCATGCTTGATCCAATTTCTGTATTACAATCTAATCTTACACATCCCTTATAAACTCACCAAACAATTTGTTGTCATTTGATTGAAATCCTGGAAATTCCGTACACTTTTTATATATAGCATGAGTTCTCAAATTTAGCTCTACCAACCTTTCCTACTAAGATTTAATTGAAATTATAACTGATAATAAAACCTGCTTGATATCCAAATGAAAATGATTTTTGTCCACTATGTACAATTACTTGATTTTATTCATATTTTATCAAAATAAGCACTAGCAGTATTTTTTTATTTTCTGTAGAAAATGAGAAAGGAACCATTTTTCCAAACTTTATACCAAGGTATATTTCTTGACTCTAAATTTTGTGATGAATGCGATCATCGGTAAGTGAATGACTCGAACAATTGTGTCTTAAATTTATCATTTATAATTGCGATATAACTGGAGAATAAAAATATTCTTTGTTTGCTACAATATACCAGTGACCGGAGATTTTTGAATACCATTAGCTGCTCAATGGTTATGGTACACACAAACTGGATCATGCTATTCTAGATACAAAATTCAGGATTAAAAATTGAGAACCTGAGCATTGACTAAACCATAATTCATTTAATACAATTATGAACATCTTACACTTAGTAAGGAAGAGAATCACATATTTAATAGTAAGTAATCTGGGTGTCTATTTGTCCACACTCAGTGTCTAATTACATCTTACTTTCAGTGGCTATACGTCAAATTGTTTTTCAGTTGTTAGTTTTTGAAAACACACCTAACTTATATATTTAGATGAAATGCGATATACTACTTTGTATTCATTCTTAATGAATTCAGGTTTCATGGCTTGACATTTAGTTTCTGTGAGAGAAAAAAAATAACAACTTAATTTTGAGAAAATATTTCATGATATTGAAAAAATAAATAAAGTCTAATATAAACATTCTGTAGATTCACTTACAATTATTTACCTCACTCTATATAAGATTGTCAAAATCGGTTGAAATTTCGTAATGTTAAAAATAAACAAAGTATAACAATTTTGGTTAACTACCTTACTGAGAATTTTTAAATTTTTCACTGAAACAATAACATAAAACGATTTAATACTGTGGGATGGGACAGTAACTTTCTTTGTCTGTATTTTAAACTACTAAAGTTATGAACGAACATAAGTGGATTGTCCTTCATGTTTTTCTGAGGTTTTCTGAAATAGGTAATGATAATTTGGGCTTCTTGAGACTCTTAAAACCGTTACAGCTGTGATTCTGCTTACAAAGAGAGATTTCTAGACAAATGAAAAAAATTAGTAGACCTTGTTTCTTGATATTTTTGTTTTTTATTACTGTAAATTTGCTGTTCGCCGCACACATACATAATCGAAGTCTTATTCAAATCCAGATGTCATATTGTTTTAGGGGTTGTCATAGTGTCAACACTAAAATGAAATTGACTGGAATCGTCATTTCAAAATCAACCTTGTATAGTGAATACATTAGTTAGTACTTACAATGTTCTTACTATACTTTAATCTGTAAATAATGTATATTCCTTATCCACAACCTATTTTCTAATTCAGTTACGATCGTGAAGAAGTATTCAGTGCAATTAATTTAGCAGTTAAAGCTAACGATTTACATGAAGCTTTAAATCAGTTCGTTCGAGGTGAAGTACTTGAAGGTGATAATGCTTATTATTGTGAACGTTGTTGTGTTAAACGCCGTGCAGTAAAACGTTTATCTATTCACTCACTACCTCCAGTACTGTGTTTACATCTGAAGCGTTTTGATTTTGATTGGGATCGACAAATACCTATTAAATTTTCGCATTATTTCAAATTCCCAAGACAATTGGATATGAGTCCATATTTAACTGGTTCTACACTGGTAAGTTGTATGAGGAGCTTTTTTAATTAATTCTTATAGATATAGTGTGATGTCTTCTGTACAATATTGTCATACTATCATTACACAAGTTAATAACCAGTTACTAATTACTTTATTCATAAGCCTACAACTGAAATCTGTAATCTAATGGCTAACGATGTTATTTAATACTCAATACCTTGACAGATAGAGCTGGGGTTTAATCGGTCTCCCGTTATTTGAAAGTCGAATACGGACACTAATCATATACAATTTCGTAATATAATGAATGGAAAATATTTCTACTTCAGATGTTTACCAGATTATTAACTTCTTATTTTTGTTATTTTCCCGTTTGATCAGTTTTTGAGTATGTGAACAAAATGTTTAGACGGTGGATTTTACTCTATCTGTTGATCAGTAACTGTTACCTACAATTATCTTTTTTTACTCATATACTTATTTGATTACTGGCATCACTGTGTAATAGTGGTAGTAGTTATTACAATAATAATATAGCAGTACATTAATATATTTGATTGATTGTTTTATTATTATTATTTCCATTTTGACAGAAATTTCGGTCTTCTGCATTTTTTTCCTCACATTCATCAACCTCGGCTTTATTACAACGCGAAGCCAAAGAAGCCACATTTGCACCTAGCGCAGCAAATAAACGACCTAACGATGTAAGTAATTTATCAAAACACATTTATTCGGAAATATATATGTTGCACAATAGAATGGTCATTTATTACTTAAATATTCAAGATGTGTGGGTTTGTTAGTAGATGGCTTAAGCTCAGGTCTTGCCCATTTACATGTTTCTACGTTCTTTATGTGATAATTTGTAACCCTGTTGTGTATTGCATTGATTACAGTAATCAAATAATCTTTCCTGTTGTGATATATTTAGTAGTTTCATTGGAGCTCACGGGAAATAATCTTAAACATTATATTTAACTACTTGGGAAACAGTTAAACTTTCCCGGTCAGAAAAGTTAATGTTCATTTCACAAACCTTCCCAAAAATGTTTTGATATTTGTATAAAATATATATTCTGTATAAATACTTTGTTCAGACAGTCATATGCTTTTACCACGTGTTCATTGAATAACAATCCATAGTTTTTTTTTACCTGCTAAAACAACTGACATGTACGTATTAGTTTTTCCTGTTTCGCCACGCGCAATCAAAATTACATTATGATCTCTCGAACTGCCCTTATCCATATATAATTCGTTTGATAACAAAGTATTTATCGAATAGTAATTTACCATGGATGCCAACTTGGAGAAGTGTAAATGCCAATGACTTTCGATCAGTATGAATAATCGTAATAATGCTGCAGTACTGAAAAACTTATTTTATTTTAACATCTATTTGTGTCAATCAGTTACTGCACATTTAGCACAACTGTTTGCCATCGTACACAAGAATTTTGTTGATCGAAGTATTGTCTGATCTAGATAGACTACTCACAAATCATGGTCGATTATCAAGACCGACATCACACTTCCAGTCATTATAAATTTATAATAATAAGTATGAAAGAAAAATTATAGAATAGTATGGAACTAGTTAACGTGATTACATACAGTGTACTCTAGGATGGCTGCAATACCAATTATACACCAACCACATTCTCTTTGAAAATGCATAAGTGATACATATAGTAAAATTACTGTTATTTATTTATATGCATTAATACATAAATATAACAATACTGAATACAATAAAAGGAATGCATTCAAGTCTATTCAAGGGTTGCTCTAAAAAGAGCCTTTATCTGGTGATTAGTTCTCACTCAGTATATAATCTTTGACTACGAATTTACGTTTACCGATGACCATATGCTTCGTGACGAATCATTCCTCATAACGAATCTGAGTACACAGTGTTTCTCGTCAATCGGTAGAGTTTCATATTTGTGCGTTTCGCCTCCACGAAATTGGCATTCTTTAGTTCATGAAATGTGAGTATATGGTTGGAACACACTTGAGCATTTTCGCCTCTACAGTAATAACTGATCTTGTGTGTATCGATGAAACGTGGCATCTGACACTGATAATAGACGGATAGTTTTGTAAACTAAAAATTGCATCTAAGTACAAAAATTCATCTGTCCATGTTTTTATTTGTCATCTGACGGAAGAGCGAATTAATAGTTTATCAGATTGCGACCTCTTTACTTCTCGCTACAGTTGGCAATTCAACGGATAATGTTCCATGAAAACCAATTTTGTCTAAGAGAACAATAGTCAAAATGAATTGATTTGTATTAGCCCAGAAAAATTACTGCAGTTCATTATCTTCATCCAATTGATTCTCTAAGTCCAACAACGGATGTATGTGACGTAGCAGCTTACCATTTACATTTCATTAACATCGATATGCATTGTTTTCCTGGAAAATCGGACCGTGGGAACACCTTTTATGAAATTGATAAACTTACACTCATCACTTAAGACTGTGAGACCATGTAGCTAGTGGAAGGTAATTTTTTAATGTTCAGAGTTTAGAGAAGAGGTGATTATCGAAGAGATCATTACTTTTCATATTACTTTTCAAAAGATAGTAACCAATAACATATCTAAAAACTATTCATTTTATCGGACTAAACGGGATGGACAAAGTTTTAAGATGGGGTAACATAAAACAAAAATTACGATGTTGTAAATTGCGTTTATGTATTATGAATATTCATCTCAAGTCTATTAATTAGAAATCTTATCACTACTACCAGTAATACTGTAGTGAAAAAAAATCAGGTGTAGGTAAACTAATTTCATTATTTAATGCCTAATTACAGAGTACCCTTGTAATATATGAGAATCATACAATAAATACATTATTTTCATGTCTTCCATCAGTTGTCTTCTACATGCTCCACGATCCTTCCAATTCTGTTGTTATTACAATTGCTTTGTGTTTCCCTTTCTATTCTCTTCAATTCAGTCTTTTTCTGACAGACTTTCTACTTATATCCATCTGCACGAGCAGCATGCACCACACTATCACACCTATCTTCATAATTTCAATTAGTACTCTTTACCTGTTATATGTAGTTATTCGATCTATTTCATTGTGATCGTTGCCTTGACTAGCTTAAAAAATTTTCATATAAATATCTATGTATATTAAAATGAAACCTGATGATGATCTAACTGAAAACACCTTTGTTCGCTTCTATGTGTTGTTCTAATTTGTTTAGTGTTTGAAAATCAATTCGATTGATTAAGCAATTTACATTGTGAGTGTTGTAAACCTTTAAATCTAGGAATGTTTTGCGTTATCTAATGAATTTGTCTCTAATCTGCTTATCACCTGTTGATTTGTAATAGGAATGAGATTTCCTATAAATTAGTTTAGTACTTCATCAATGTTTTACATCCGATCCTAATGTCTAAATGAAAACAGAAATTACAGTGTGATATTTGTCTGTACTTTTATATCTGTCTATACAAATTGTATAATATGGTGTATATGTTATTTATGTTATAATACAATATTATTGATTTAATTTTTACTTGATTTTAGAACGATATAACTGATTTCACTGAATTAAACACAACTGATGAAATTGTCAATGTAGAGAATCCTGTAACATTTTCCAATTCTCCACTATCATCACCAACATATTCAACCGATCAATTATATGATGACTCTGATAAAATAATCAATACAACTAATATGACAACTGATGAATTGACGAATATGAACTCAAGTAATACATTAACTAATACATCAACTTTAAATATATCTTTATCGTCAACATTGGATAATCAAAAAAAGCATGAGAATTTATACAAACTTATCGGTATTGTTGTTCATTCTGGACAGGCTAACTCTGGTCATTATTATTCATTTATTAAGGATCGTCGTCATTGCAAAGGGTTAGTTTGTGTGTTCTTTTTGATTGCATGTAGATATGTATTTATTTATGTCTGTGAGGAAATGAGAAATTTATTACAAATATATTCCCTGGAATTCAAATATTAACATTTTCAATGTATAACTGTAGAACTAAATATTTTTCTGAAGCATTCAATTTATTTGTGTAGAATATTGTAAATATGTTCGTTTAAAAGTATAATAAATTTAATTTTAACATCTAGACTATGAATTCAAACATGAGATTATCAATTAGCATAAAACTACACCAATTTAACACATGAGGGTTTTTATTTCTCCGTTTTTGTCTTAATGACTACAATTGATAATTCTGTATTAGCTTATGCTTGGGTTACCTTGGTATCGCCATTCACCCACAAATTTTTATAGAAGTTCTATTTTGGCTTGCAGTGGAATCCACAACTCACGTTTTGAAATTTTTTGTATATAGTAGGTTAGAAGACAGCCCGTTGACGTTTGAAACAAAACGTATTAGGTTAATGTCTCAGTGTGAACATCGACACCTGAGTACATTCAGCTGACGAGTTCCAAATGCAACGAAACATATGTATTAGATTCCACTCTTAGCCAAAATTTAACTTCAATAAAATGGCAGTTCAAGGTCGTAGAAATTCAATTTTTATACGTCCTGCAATTTCAGCTCAAATTTTATTCTGCATACAAATTAAGTGAACAAGTTACAAGCTGAATTACCTAAAGTTGTGGCAGAATTTGCGTATGAGGATTTATTAATGCACCATGCTTAGTGTAACGCTTCAATCATTAGGTCTTTGCGACACCACTAACTTATAGATCCTAATTAAAAAGTATATTTGAATATTTAAATTTTCATTAGCGATTCAACTAAACATATAAACATTTCATTTAATAGTTGCAAACGGACTTTTTTGGTTTACTGCTAATTCCACGTCTGTTGATTGAATCACTCTCTATTCTAATGAGTTGTAAAGATAATTGACAATAATCTTCAGAAATTTGTCTCGTGTAATTATCCACACAAACATATCTAGTTAGGAAAACCGTCAAAAGTTAGTCGACATTGGCCAGGCCAGATTGCGAGTCGGTCACTGAATTCATATGTCATGACAACAGTGATATAATTGACCTACTAAGCTGAAATTTGAATTTCTTTCCGAGAAATTATTAGGTTAACAATTCCTTTTTTAAATGCAATTTTAAAGTGGTTTTCAGCTAAACTGAGTAGTTATTGTTTATCTGGAAGTGTAATAAATGCTGTTTAGGAACATTAATAAATATACACGCCTATAACCAGTCATTAAAGCGAAAAGAACGTGTAAACATTGCAGTGAACATACTTTGATTTGCACACACTGTTTATTCATCGAAGAGTAATTAATTCCTTGTTATTTATTCTGTTTGATGCTAATCAGATTCTATCATTCATTTTGCACAATATCTACCAGTTTAAGTGAACTGACATTATGGTTCACTTTATTTGATGTAAAGTGGTTGTAGACTATCATTAGACGATAGATTTTGACTTAATATTTTATTTCAATGGGTAAGATCATAAGTCAGTTGAAGCTAGACCACCATGGAGAACCTGGAAGCACTGGACGACCGTTTCGTCCTATTGTGGGACTCCTCAGCACTGCGCATCCACGACCTCGCCCCCTGCGAGATTCGAACCCTGGACCTACTGGTTTCGCGCCCGAGCACTTAACCATTAGACCACCGAGCCGGCATCCAACGGTGTTAATGTCTAACTTCAACTAATCCACGAAATTGAGCTACACATTCACCATTGTCTTCACTGAGTTCCTATCTCACAACAGACCTGGTTGAACTCCATTGACTCATAATCTTACCCATTGAAATTACTACAATCTCCACAAAAACCCATCTGATATTAATATTTTATGCTTCCTAATCTTTATCAACAAGGCAAATGTTTACATTTATAAGGACATCGATGCTTTCAATGTTGTCTCGTTACTCCTAGTGTTATGGTCTCGAGCAATTAATTATTCGCATTATCAGTCCACAATGAATTGCTTACTTAATTGAGCCTATTTATCCTCGTGGTGGAGCACAGGCTGCCCACCAGCATTTTTGTCTTAATGATACTTGATTAATAGTCAACAGTTTTAATTGTCGCTAATTGTTTTTCTTCCATAATTAAGTCATCAATTCAACTCAATGAACGCTTATCAAAACACTGAACAATTATTCAGTTCATCAGTGATAGATCAACATTCTGATGAATTTGCACAAAATGTTACAAAATCTAACTTAGAAACTATATCTGAAATCAAAAATGAAGTAGATAACGGGCAAATAAATACAAATAATACTACAACTAACAGTAGTGATATTAATAACAATAAAAATAAACTTCTTATTACTGATCATGAAATACAAGATACAGAACATTGGTATCGATTTAATGATACATATGTTGAACCTATTGAATTAACGGATGATTTACTTGAACATGAATGTTTTGGTGGAACCTATAAAGTTACTGGAAATGACGGTTTGTTTTGTAAAATTTAACTTTTTATTGTTTAGTGTTTTTGAAATTTTACTATTATTATTATTATTATTGTTATTATTATTATTATTATTCGGTTAATGGAAAGAAGAATAGTAACATGAGAACACTTTATCCGGTTAACGAAGTCATACATTTTTACTTTTATTGCCCTGGTACGCTCGAAAGTGGGGGAGAGTCAGCTCTCCCTCTCGAGATTCTCTCACAAGACCACGTGCATACAATTACTTTCAAGGAAATCCTACTCACTGCATTTTCTCAGCATGGATGTTGCTTACGAAATTGAGTGGATGAAAAGTGAATGTCCGGCGCTTTAACCGAATTGGTGAATATGGAGGATCCTTTTATGGGAGTTGGAAAACCCTAATTTCAAACCAATGGTGCACATAGGCTCCAGGGTCCTAAAGGAAATAATAATGTATGAACCTGTTGTTGCTCACCGTCTCAGTCAATCAGCTACAACGTAGGACCAGGCACATATATGCATCGGTCCAAGTTGCCATTCCTTATTAGCACAGTAAGACGAACATCGGATTCATGGAAGTAGTTAATTCAATGGTGGTAATGTATAAAAGAAAATTGCTTATAAGGATATAGTACAAGAAGAAAGAAAGATATGAAGTAATTTTAATCTCATATTTTAGGGGAGGACAAATAGTGTATACACCAAACGCCATTGTGATCGATTCTGAATTATGTCACCCAGAGTTTCCAGTTATTGGTTACGATGAATTTTACGGAAAGCTGTCCGAACTTTCTAAACCACTCAGAAAGACATTTAGGTGAGTATTTTAGTATTCCGGTTCAGCGAACAGATAATAGTGATCGTCTGCTGTAACTGTGCTCAGACAATCGTTTATTTTTGGCAAACACTAATTTTAAGCATCAGGAGAGACATCGTCAAACATGGCGACCCGCTGCACCAAACAAACAATGGACTCTAATAGACCATATTGCCATCAGTCATCGTTGGAGAGGGTCAATAGAAGATTGTCGCTCGTTCTGGAATACCTGCTTGAACTCCGACCATGCTCTGACACGGGCACGCATCTGCTTGCGCCTCACTGGACGCAGAAAAGTCATACTAAGGAGACCCATTAGAATTGAATTGAGCGACGAGAAAACCAAAAGTAGAGTCCACGGGGCTGCATCTCCTTACGTTGCTCCATTGCCTTGTGGATTAGACCTCGGGATGTGACTCCCTAAGGAAACCACCTGCTTCCGTTTTGGCATCCGGGCAGTATTCCAGCCCTCACACAAATCAAATGATTTATGCGGGACATATCTGTTTGGTGCCTCCTTGTGCCAATATTTATGTGCTTCAATAAATAATAAAATTTTTGGGATAGTCTTTTGGACGTATATACATATATATACCGAAAATATGGTTTTTAAATATAGTTAAAGGCTACTTATTTTTAATCATTCAGCAGTGTCCGACACCATGGCTTCGGTAGAGATAATAGAATGAATTTACAATCAAGATATGTTGATCAATGTTTACACAAAAAGATAATAACATTCAGTAACGAAATTCTGATTCTTCTACTTGAATTTAAATTGTACTATTTGGATCAGAGCTAATAATTAGTATCAGTTGTTTAAAGTTAAAATGTAGATGAACCAGAGTCCAAATTTACAAAGTGATGGTTGAAAATAATGTGATTTAATAATCAAGCAGTTTTTCCACAAAGTACATGAAAATTCCTATCCGTCTCTATATCTAAGCAACCTATCATCTCCCAGTTACTGCTGTCTGCCACAATCATTTGCATATATTTTCGGACATTCTTGTTTTGGGCTTCAGTGGGTTTAAAATTAAATCCAGCCTAATGAATCATATCAATCATAATTTTTCTAAAGAATTTATTTGTATTGGTAGTTTGGATCTTATTGATGTTTAGGACTGCAATTCGTAAGTATATTATCAGTCTATGTGCATCCAGTGCGGATTACCCTGATATTGCTTAGATTCACAAGCATTTCATGGATGGTAACTATCTGTGGAATTCGGGACTCGCATTTGTCACAGTATGTACATATGTCAATGAGAGACTGATCAATTGCAGTCCTAAATATCAATGGGAAGATACAAGCAAACCATATAAATGAAATAAACTTTACCCCATTGCACAAGCCAGAGGTTATCTGGACTTGGTAGCTAAATGGATAACGCGATGGCGTTTGAAACGAATGGTATTAGGTTGGAGTTCCAGAGTGAATACCAACTCTGGGATGCATGTACATTCGGCTGAGGAATCCCAGATAGGACAAAATGTACTCTGTATTCCATCGCTAGCCACCATCTCTCTCTGCTTATAAAATAAAAATTCTTTTCACACTATTGCTTAACCGAATTTACAGATGAAATTTTGGAAAACACCCTTGTGGTATCTTAACTGTCCTAGGCAAAACCACATGATCATGAAAGCTTAACAATTCAGACATTTTTTTATTTATTTCTAAGTATGTTTACAGCTAAATGTATAAATGTAAATCAAACTTGATAACTGGCTAACTAACTGACCAAACGCATCCAACTAACATAATATTGTCACAAAACATCTAAATGAACATAGCTAGACATAGAAATAATAATACTAAAGATGAAGTCTCTCAAGACCATTATTATTGTAAAACCTGTCGAATATGACAAATAATTTCATATAATTCTGTTTATGAATCTGAATAAAGCCAGAACAACAATTCGAACAATTTTGATTTTGCTTCTTGGTTTCTATTCATTTGCCTACAACTTTATTTGTATGACGTAATATAAAATAACAGACAGTGGTGTTTGAAAAAGTGAAATGAAAAGATTATCAGTAGCATATATCCTATCAATTTCCGAATTCTGGATAAAAGCTCACTCACCTTCATTATGATTTTGACATCATTTCGGATGAGGCAATAAATCGGTTAGATAGACTACGTAATAGCTGCTCAAGATTTGAAAAGTTTAAGCAAGTTAAGGACTTGAGTTAGTGGAGATCATTGATGCATGGAAAGATGCTTTTAAAGCGGATGAAATAGAATTTAGCTAGTCTAAGTTCCCACAAGATAATAATGGAAGACATAATAATAATGTTAATTACTATATATATATATATATATATATATATATCACTTTATGGACGATATATACTTATTATCATGGTTTTTTTTACATAAATTGAATTCTGGTTGTTAAAAATTCAGGACGAACTGTTGAAACTCGTACCAGATACTGGAGTGCATATCTTTTGTTTTATGAACGAGTCAATATGAATTCTTCGTCTTCTTCTACAGTGAGTAAACCGCTACAAACGGAAAAGATAACAACCAGTAAAGATCAACCTGATTTTCAATTGATTGTTGAATGTGGTAAAGAAGGCAAGTTGCTATTTCTTTTGTTAAGAAGGATTTTTTTGTCGTTGAATGACGAAACACCAGAAAGTATTAACATTTCATAACTCATTGAGTGATATACGCTGATTAAATGTTCTTTTCATAGCGTATCTCTGTTGCATTTGTATTTCTATGAGATCATTCTTACTCTTATGGAACGCTTTGGCTTTTAGATAGTGATAGTGACCAATAAATGATCTAAATCATTTATACAAATTCAAAACAAAACTGAAACATACTGCAGAATGGAATTAGCGCAAATGATGAATGAGAAGTTGAATGTATCGTTTTCGTACGCAGATTTCAAGCTTGAATTGGTGGATGACCAACGCCTCAGTTTGGCTTTTATAAGAAGAATGCAAAACTATAACCAGCTTAATACAGAAGCAATTGTTCAACTTTGGACACATTGCTCCAAAGGAATCTTTCTTCAAAATAATCTACGCAGTGAAAGAAACTGGATCAAAAGGAGGGCGAATCAAAAACTTATGCACTACTGAGGCGTTAGTGATTCAGCAACTCAAGCCTGCGTGGAAAAACCATATATTCATCCTTTATTGACCTCAATTCCATTCTGCAATATGTTTCAGTCTTGTTTCGTTTTTATTATTAGTTGATCATTTTAAAGTATAATCAATGTTTTTTATAGTTTGCTATAATTATGATTTAATTGTTGTTATGACCTTCATGTTTTTCATTTTTCTTCATGTGTCAAGTGGAAAATTATCCCTCATAATTCTGACCTGTAAATTATTTTCGTTTTCCTATTCTTCTCTAACCCCTTGATTATTACGTAACCTCAATTGATATGTGAAATCTCGAATCATAATTTTTGCTATCTAAAGACTTATATATTTATAAAACAACTATAAATACGAATGTACAGCATAAGTAAAGGATTTCATCGAGAAGAAAAATTTCTTTGCTGAAGCTTTTTTATTTTTTACTCAATGACACAATTAGTTACTTTAATCACACATGATAAATTTTTACCACTGAATCGGTGATGGATGTTGTGTTGTATCGAGAATCCAAGGGAATGAGAAGTTGAATGTATCGTTTTCGTACGCAGATTTCAAGCTTGAATTGGTGGATGACCAACGCCTCAGTTTGGCTTTTATAAGAAGAATGCAAAACTATAACCAGCTTAATACAGAAGCAATTGTTCAACTTTGGACACATTGCCCCAGTAATAATATTATATATATATATATATATATATATATATATATATAACGCGATTCGCAAACAACTATAGAATATATAAACCTTATCCACTTCACGTTAGTTACTTACTACCTACTTAAGTAGTAAGAAAGTAATATCCATTTCAAGTTAGCTACCTTTCTTTATTACATCCGAAATTCATCTCTCGTTCAATCTACTGCAGGCACATAGGGACTCTGGACACCTTAATGAATTTGGCACCTCGTTTTTAACTCATCAAACACTTTAAGGTTTCTTTTGAATAGTTTTCAAGATTTCCATTCATTGTTATGATGATAACCTTAATACAATTACTTATAATTCTATAAACGTGTATATCACATGTATATACATATTGATAATAATATAATTTACTTTTACATTGGTAGCTCCTAGAATATCATATTTCGCAGAAATAAAAATTGTGTAAATGTAGCCAAATACTGGAGTAGTATTACTAAGCGAATAAATTTTTATGATAATCATTTTTATTTTTCCACACACTCGTATGGCAAAAATCTTGATTGTTTTTCTTCTTTTGAGTGTAGTCTAAATCATTGAGTGAATAGTTACACATAAATGAATAATCTCTATATTTTTTCCGCATGTTATTAAAATCTACTTCACAATTAACTAATATTAATCATTCAGGAGTAGTTCGTAACTCATCAACTAACCTAAATGAACAAAGCTCAGTGGTGACTACTAACGTGACAACAACCACTACAGGAACTAAAACTACTAGTATTCCTAATATCATGAAATCCATTTCAATGCCTACACGGATTGCTCAACAAATATGGACAGAAAATATGACATTTTTACGTGATCAAAACATTTACTCTCATGAATATTTTGAATTTGTACGAGAACTATGTGAAGGTATATTGGTAAGTTTTTCTCTTTATTTAGATTGCTGAGATTCAATTTTTGTATGCTTTAGCAGAATTAAATCTACCGCTTATGTTTAGAGTTCTCGAGCAATTAGAAAACTTGATTTTGTGAAAAGAAATTCCGTAATCTAAATATATTAGAATTATTTCACTCAATAGTCAATTATTCATCGAAGCAAAAAACTAAATGTTTCAAGGTTCGTCTTGAACTGTGACTTAACCATTGCAAAAATTTCTTCGAGGGGCTATCATTTATAAGGATATTGGAGAGCAATAAGATGATAACGATCGAATCATCCTTAGGCATTAATTCCTCGACCTTATAGCATCTACGCACTAATAATGTTTGGTTTGGATGGAACTGTCTTTGAACTTAGAAACGGTCTTAAACTAAAATGAACTGAAGTCATATTTACGAGTTTTTGTATCGCACCTACTTTGATTTTGAAACTGGCTAACCTATTACAAACTTTAATAAGTTTATTAATCATGTAAAACATATGTACTTTTAATTTTTTATTTATCTCTGATAAATTATTCATTTATTTTACTGGCTCTCCGAATATCTAAAATGTTACTTAAGAGTGTCCATAAAATTCGGTATCAGCAAAAATTCTTATATGCGCAAGGCCTAAGTTCGAAATATTTCTGTAATAGCTTTGATTTATCTGTTTTGAAATTCAAAACACCATAGTGGTTTACACCATATTTCATAGTCTACACCACAGTCTCTGTTATGATTCGTTAAACGTGAATGCCACTACTGATTCGTCTACTCGAACGGAACGAAGGATCAATGATTCAGAGACTCGATAGCTATTCTGGTTCGTTGTCCCCGACTCAGCTAACTCGATCAAGAAGTCTGGGTGAGGCGTAGAAAGTGTATTCTACAGGCAAACAGCAGATACCAAGTCAGGTCAAGCACACAAATCAAGCGTATTTATACAAATATTTACAATCGATATTGTCATGGAAAATTTTTAAACATTAGTCAATAAGTTCATCAATTGACCGTTATTCAACATTTAATCGATAAGTTCATCAATTGACTGCCATTCAAACATTTAATCGACCCCCATACAAATATTTAAACATTTAATCGATAAGATAAAATTAAAAAACACGAGTTTAGGGGATTTATCGTCCCCAACAGTCTCATAATCAGTGAAATAATCTTATTATTAAGTTTCTTAGTATATACTAAAGTTAATTATGCTTTACAAAATCTCATTAATTTACTCAAACCCTACACTAATCAACAGAATGTTGCTAGAAATTCACGTTGTTGATAGTCAATAAACTTATGGAAATCTCTAAGTTAATTACTACTGACTACATTATTTTGTCTATGACTCCATTAAGAGAATGTCACTTGTTACATAATCCTAGTTAACTAAATATTGTATGTTTGGTTTTTTTCCATCTACAGGTTGATGTCAGCAGTTTACGTCAAGAACCTGAACGTGGTGTACTTGGTACAAAATTACTATCGCATTTCTTATTTAATACTTTTCTATGCCTTCATTCTCGTGTTAAACTCAATATGGCATTAAAATCAAATGAATCATCATTAAATAGTTTATGTACAAGCGATGTGACAGAACTGATAACAAAATTAAATTCTGATTTACTTAACTTATTAACTCGTTTAGCTACAACACATCCTAGTGCAACACGTTGTTTGATGCATTTTCTGTATATCAGTCCAAGTCAACCATGTTTGTAAGTTACCTTTAAAGAATAATTTGTTTCATTGGTGCTTTAGATGTACGTAGTAAATAGATATGTATGTATATATTTGTGTATTTAAGGTCTTGATGTTTTTTTTCTCCTTAAAAACGTTTCACAGGTGAGTGAATTTGTTTAACTCAAAAATAGTTATGATGTATCATTAGCTCAAATTCTCCTCTTTTTTGTTACTTTCAAGAATAAGAAGTCTTCTATTACATATTTTATGTCACATTACAGGAAAGTTAGACAGATTTATACAACAATACTTTTCTACGTAGCACAAATGAAATTCGAATTAAAACACATTGCAATATCTAAGCAAAGATGGGTAGTGACTAGCAGTGGAATCCAGGACGGATGCTTCACCCTATTTGGGACACGTCAGCTGGATGTACCTGCATCTCAGAGTTGATATTCATTCTGGGAATCGAACCCAGTACTGTCCGCTCCAAATACCATCATGTTTTCCACTTGGCTACTGAGTCCTGATATTCACTAGATTGTGCAATGGGGTGAAGTTAAAATTCACTTGGTATTGTTTACTTGAATCTTCACATGGATGTTTACGACTGCAATTGATCAGTCTATTATTGGCATACGTGCATATGTACACTCATCTGCCGAGTCTCAAATAAGACGAAACGTGCGTCCTGAATTCCACTGCTAGGCAATATCCATATTTGCTTATGATGCTTGTGAATGGAGACAGGGTTTCCTGTCGATTACTTTCGACCACCACCGTACATCTCAACACAGTCCCCGCGTTGTTGAGCCACTTAGACTATTGGCCAGATTCGAAATTGATCGGTAAAATTCTATCAGCTCTAAGAAGGACTTGACGGACATCACATTAGTCCCTATCCAGTGATCAGTCGATTGTAAGTAAAATAATTTATACTTTGAACTGGAGCATTAGAAGCAATTAAGAACATAGAAAAAGTACTACTCCATCCCATTCAAAGAAAGTATGAATATTGAATCAATAAGTCGATAACATAGCACTAACTATAGCACTTTTTCACATATAATGGATATCATTAACTTAAGATACATAAAGCATACTGAATAATCACTCTGAAACACAATGGAGGAGTAGACAAATGATTTTCATGTTACCAAAATATATTAGTCCAAAATATGCAATGATAATTAATCCTACGTTTCAAACACTTGTTACAACATTTTTTTGGGGCTATTTAAAGCCATTGCTCGTTATATGAAAGTTTACGTGGTGCAAATCATTTTCTTTTTATGTAATGTTTACAGGGTTTCAATGCTTTTGGATCCCGATCCAGTAGCACGTCAACAAACTGCAAATACGATTCTCGCTGTGTTACAAGGATTCTATGGTTTTAAAGAAACAAACATTGTAAGATTTGCTAATGTGTTGATGTATGTACAAGATTTGATCTCTGGCGTTGGATATAACGAAGTTTATAAGTGTACTGTAATACTATTTTTCGATAAATATCACGGTCTATAGTCCCAAAAATTTGAAGCGCTCATTATGAAAACAAATTTAGCAGGTGACATGTTGCTTTCCCCTTTCAAGAGATTGGTTTATTTTTAATTTCCCAGTTCGAACATATTTTGTTTTCCTGTCATGTGGTAAATTAGAGTCAAGCATGAGTGACCTATTTTCAGTAAAATAATTATTGATCGGTCATTCCCTGAAATCGTCTTGTCAATCTGACAACCTTTTAATATTCATTGGCTGTGAATATTATTATTCATTTTTATGTCACTATGAAAGTCCTTACAGAGTTTTGGTATTCTTTCTCTATACAACTTGACTATCAGCATTGAGGAATGTGATAGTAATGGACTTCGACTTTAGAAAGTATCTTTGTAAAAGATAGAAGACATGAAGTCCCGGATGTAGCAAGAAAACTGAGCGAAAAATATCATACGCCATTTGTGGCCACCTCTTATATTCACCGCTTTATCTCACCTCCGTTCAAATATACTCACGTTGTTTAATTTATTTATATTATATGTACCTTAAATGAACAAACAAATATAATTAGATCAACGTTGCTGTGAATGGTTAAACTTGAAAATAACACAACAATCAAAATGGAAATACAATAAACATGAACACTTACAAATAGAGTAATTTAAATCATCATCTAGTTAAATCTGTAGAAAGACAATCATTTCCTTATCCTAATGAAACCTTATCATTATTGTTACAACATTACATAGTCGACCACTGGTTCGTAAATTACCTTATGAATTTCATTCAGATCTGGACGGTTTTGTGTGTTGGTTTGTTACTTTGAGGAATCGATGCCGCTCTTGGTCTTAAAAAGTTTGAAGTTTCTTTATAACCACTGCTAACATGACCAACATATGAAGTCAAACATTAAAGTGCACTTTGCTTATCATAACGGTTAACTTGATATGGTATTCGTAGTTGTTAATCATGATGGCCAAATCGAGTTATAGAGGATGAAAATTTTGTCCTCTGAGGTCCTAAAAGATCAGGCAGATTTTTTGGGTAACAGTAAACCGAAGGGTGGATTCACATTGATAGTTGTGCAGTGAAGTGCCTGCGGTTCGATTTTTCTCGCAAATAACTACAATTTCCACCAATATTTCATTCTCACAGACAAAATAACAGTTCACGAAATGTCAGCAGTATATGTAACATACCCTTATTTGATAGATTTTCGGGAACTGTGATAATTTTAGAAAAGTATGGATTTACCATTACAAATAATTCATGCAAAAGACTTTGTTTCATTGATCTCAAGAAGTTGTCCCTTGATCTCCGCGGTCAACCCCTCCCCTCAGTATCATTAATCATGGTTTTTTACAGTTACTAAACCATCGGAACAACTTTGACGTATGTTAGTGATTCACTTCACACAACACATTCATTAAATAAATTATTTAACGTGTTTATCTTCCTAGACTTGTATTTATGCTTTTATCAAATATTAATTGGAAGTTAATTCATAGATTTTCCTAGAAAATCTAACTTTATTGACTTGATGTGGTACGTTTTCTGTCTGAAAACAAGGTTTCCTTACTGGAACTTGTTCAAGTAGTTGATTTTAATAATTATTGTTTTTTACATGGAACAGTGAAAGTTTGATTAAATTTGATGTATTTGTCGATTTTGTTGTATACATATTCGATGTCAAATAAACCATTATAATTACTACTTGTCTGGTGTATTTTTTAACAATGATTTCATTGATAATTATTAAAATATTTGGTTTGTATCTGTGTAAAGTGAGAAAATTTGAGACAACACGTAAACTCTCATTACACTACCAAATTTACATTTGGTCCAGGTTTCATATTACTTAGTAGTGATTGACAGAAAATTACTTGTTTCTTTTCCTTGGTGTATATTTTTTCCTTTATAGCTTGATGGTACATTAACTGGATTGATTAACAATCTACTTGGTTTATTCGATAATGGTCAAATAGCTGAACATTTAACAGAAGCTGGTGCATTATTCGGTTTACTTCGTGGTTATGCAGAAATGTGTCCGCATGCCACGGTACACTTATCTAATTTACGAGCAACCAAACGAATATTAAACTTTTTCATTGAACCAAATAATGTCAATTCATCTGACTCTAATCAACAGCCTGCTTGTTGTACATCTTTTACTGAAGATGCACCAAATTGGGTAGGTTTTAATTAATGAAGAAAGAATATTATTTTTTCTATTATTCTGTCCAATACAACGGGTTATACTACTGACAGATTACTGTGTAGGTAGTTATTGTTATCAGTTAAAGTTCCAATGAACATGGTACTTAAAAGTATCTACTGATTATGAGTCACTCAGTTCTATATTGAAGTTACTTTCTCGAATGAATAGTATGGCAAATATAACCAATCTTCATATGTACCAGGATCTTTGTTACTTAAGACTGACTGATTCCGATGACTGTGTAAGTTTTGGTTTTTCTGAGTAAAGCAAACTTTGACGAATTGTAGTGAATCTTTAAAGAGTGGATTTATTGTTTAAATGGGCTCTGTACTGGCCAGAGAATGTTTGATTGCCTATTCTTCAGCTGTTTCACTCTTTTGAAATTGACAACTATATAAGAGAATATAATTTTCCAAAATAATTTCACTACATAAGTTAGTTCCATTTAGTTTATTTGACTAAAATACTTGAAAAACATGTTGATATCGATTTGTAAGTAGTGTATTCAATTATTAAGAAATAATTACTGATTTTCCTCAGAATTTATAGCAATACCATGAAAGTTTAAGCAAGCGTAGAATTGCCTTCACCATCTTTTACTGTCGTGTCTGTTAGTTATGTTTTCCGTTTTGAAAGTCTTGTGTATTTTTAACTACTCTTGTTTTGACACCACTATGGTTACCTTTATATTCACCCAAACACCAAACCATATGTAGTCTAATGTAACAAACAGTATTCGACACAACACATTCCCATACTTTCTCCCAACCTTTAATCACTAACTATATTTCAATATATTAAACTTAATCATACAAGCTTTGTTCTGAATGTTTTCCGTTTAAAAGAAGCTTAATATTTCTTATATGATAATAATAGCTTTTTGTTTTCCTTTACAATCGGTGAATTTTTTTAAAAGTTGCATATTTACTGTGTTAATTCACCTGTCATCTTTTGTATTCCCCACGCGTTGAATGTATGTTAATCTAAAAAATTTGTTCGTAAAAGAAATATTTTCAAAATCACTCTAGACACGAACCGAAACTACCCTGTGAAATTGCTGTAAACTAAAAATGTACTGGGGTAAATTTTCCCTCTTTGTTAGGAAGTCAACCATGTCAGAAGTTATGTAATTAATTACTCGTTTATATCATTGCATATTCTCTAGATTGGCAAATCCTGATCATTGAACTATAACTCAATAATCCAATAGTATCGTGTTCACTGCGAGGCCTGAATTTCCTAGAATCGTTCTCGTGTTATATATATGAATAATGCGAAGCCACACATCAGTATGAGACAGCTATTTCGTACTCCTTAATTTTCGGTAAATCAATGCTCTATTTCAACTCGTGTTGACAATAACCTTAAAATCACTAGTCAGTAATTCACTTTTTCACCTTATTTTGAAACGGGATATTCTTAATTAACCGATATTTTACTTGTTATTTTGGTTTCGTAATGCTTTTTTAAATAATCCAAATAAATTTATGACCATCTAACAAGTTTATTTAGTTATATGGTTTTTACAACTTACAATAACATTTAGTGATTAATAGATATTATATTCCATCTGAATAACTGAATTACGATGATTATCATTTTTATCATTTCTGTTTACACGTTACTTTATTTTCAAACAACTGGTTGGCTAGTGGTAATAGTTAGAATAATAATGCTTATCATTTCCCACTGGAGCAGTGTCTGAATGAATAAGTCGTTCGACCTTCATCCTCTAATTTATAGATTTAAACCCCGTTATTACTCGAAGTTAAACACATTGATCTGTACCTGGTAAATGAATTGAAATGGCTTGGCAATAATAATGATATATCTTTGATTACTCGTCTTTTTTATCTTAAGAACAAATAAAATGTTTATTTTATTCAAGCCATCAACCATACTACTGATTTGCTGCATATTCTAAATTTTATACTTTTGATTTAGTCTCACCAGTTACGTGTATGGAGTCCGATCCAGCATAGAGAGATGGGTAATCTATATCACCTTCTTACTATTTTACTACTTCAAACATCGTTTGATGCATATAGATTTTCAGGTACGCGTCTTTTTACATGCACATTCTTATTGATTACTTTGTTCACATATTTTCGTCTGTAAGCAAAGAAAAAATTACCTTCCATGGTTTTGAAAACATTGTTTTCTTCTCTTTCAGTGTGCTATATTTTTCTTCATACGTTTTTCCTATAAATATGTCGCCAAATAAATGTTAACGAATTATCTTCATTTCTCATTTCTATCAGTTAAATATTTTTGAGGATCAAAAAATTAGTATTGTCATTCATATTTTAAGCCTTTCCGATTGTTATACATAAACATAACACCAAGAAGAATCATTATATTTTTATTCTATTTGTGGCATGATATGACTATTGTTGATTGTTATTTGTGGGTATTCATTCTCAGTTTTTATACATGCTAGGTAGACTACACATAGTCTCTCCCTTCAGTTTATAAGGTTCAGAAAAATAATAAGGTTATTAGTATGGAACTCTTAGAGTAGACATACTTTACTAGAAAAATTTTCATTTTCGATTACTGCAAACCTATACATATATAAATTACTGAACGGAGAATATTCTTTCCAGTCATTTGTTAACACGTTTTTAATTTAAATTTATTCACAAACTAAATGCTCAAACTAACAAACCTGCTTTTAAAAAACAAGCTTTGATGCTGAATCGTTAGCCAATCATTCATAAGACGTTAAATACAAGAAACTACGACTGTTGGTTTACGAACTCCAGTGTTCATCTCGAAGTGACAATATAATTGTTCTAACCAGTTTTTTGTTGTAGTCAATAATTCAACTTCCGCGTAGCAAATGACATCCAATTTTAACGGAACTAATGATTTTTTGTTAGTCTAAGTGAGAGTATAGTTAACAGGGAGAACAGTTCTGTCGTGGAGTACCAAGTTTAGTCGAACCATAAACCAAAAAGCAGTTATTCTTTTTAATAGTGTATGTTGTTGAAAGCAATCGCAAAAATTGTTCAGAGTTCGAATCCGTAGAATTACATGGGCAATAACCATTTGAGTAAAACTTGTTAACAATAAACTTCAAATGAACCTATTTAAACTATTTTAATGGCTGGATGTCTCCAGACTAATACTCACATCTTCTATAGTCTGAAACTGTACAGCTTAAATTTATTCTTTTCGTATACATATGAGCAAGTTGTTTGATACTTTCTCCAATTTGACTATATGCCATGTCATGTCATTTTACACAACCATTCGTCAAAAGTTTGATAAATTATCAGTTATGTGATGATTACTTTCCTTCCTACATTACCTTAATTTAGCTCCGGTTATTAATTAGATTTATTTGATCAACAATCTTATTCAATTTATCAATGTAATCTGATTGAAATATGAAATGTCGATCATTGGATTACAATAGAAACTTATAATTCTCGTTCTTGGTGGAGTTTTGTCCTCTAAGCTGCATGGTTTGGTCGTGGAGTTTTCATCGTTCTTCTGAACGACATCATCAGCACAAACTTCAGGTAGAAGTGAAATGTTCTAGTTTCTCCACAGAGGACTCACAACTTGTCCTGTCGGCCTCGATCTTGGTTAGCCAAAACTCCACCAAAGTCATCCACCTGAGCGATAAATGTTCTCCACCGTCTTCGATTTTCGTCCTCCTCAAAGGATTTTGAACCTATAAAGACATGAATCTGTCCGCCACTACTTAGCTAATAAGGTTTTCTGGAATTTGTAATGTCAGTTTCAAATGAAAATGACCTCAGAATTATTATTTTATTGGACCATCATATAGTGTTATTGTTGATAAAATCTAAATGAGTTAGCATTTTTGTTGCCGAGAAATTTTATATCGGAATTTCGATCTTAATTTTTTTTATCTCCCATTTACTATTTCGTTAATACCCTAGCTTCCTAGACTTGACCAGTTACACTTCTGACCCGCCCAGTTGTCCTTGAGCCAATGTAAGCTATGTTCCTGTTAGTTCGCTATCCATACACTTTTCTCGATCTCTCACTTTGAGTCCAGATAACAGTCGCTAGCCAGCTTCTGGTACTATTATATTTGAAGCATACATGGGCTTGATTACAAACATACTGGACCACATCATACCATGAAATAAAAAACCCCAATTATACATAATAAAACCACCGGCGGCTATTAACAGGGCAAGCTTGGAATGATCGATTAGCAATGAAATATTAATAATAAGCAGTTCAGTAATAGGTGATGAGTCAAACGAGAGTTGATGATAAACGGAATATGTAGACATACTAATTCAGTTACTTGGTTATTAATACAATAGGAACATAAGCGATACTAATGATAATAATATTTCGAAAAACAGCTTCAACTTTCGTACTATTCGTCCTGTTAATTTGATTTTAGAATTTATTTCTTTAGTATAATATGTTATGAACTTTAACGATTATTATTATTATTATTACTATTATTGTTATTATTTTCGTATATTTTAGATCCTCATGACAGTAGTAGTACAACACGTGCACCATTAGTATACCGTCAAACATCACAAAGTCGTTTATTACTTCGACCACAAAAAGAAACAACACTTTGGCTTGGTCTATCTACTCCACCCTTATTATTAAATCCCGTTATCAAACCAGTTATTTCAAATATCCAAACAGATAATACAACAACAAATACAATATCTAATAAAGTCAATTATTATTCTACTCAACTAGTTGGATTATATAGATTGTGTGAAATTGTTTTAAAAGCATATATAGAAAATCCTATTATACCAAATTTAACTTCATTTAGTCTTGATGAACAAGGTAATCCAAATTTTACTACTTGTAATAATTTGACTACAGTCAATTTAACTGGTGGTTCGTTAAGTTCAACAAGAGTTAATCCAAATGAATTATCCATTGTTATAGGAAATGAGCCAATATCACTTAGACAACGTATTCGTGAATTAATGTTACATATATCAGCAAGTTCATGGGATACATCTCAATGTTTTATTATATCTGTAAGTGACAAAAAAATATTTTGCTAAAATTCATTTGTTCTACATTTTTAAGAAGACGATTTTGTATTAATAAATTATAAGGTAATTATTATATGTTCTTGTATGTAATTTATGTTGTGTTTTATAACTATTGTTATTATTTTATTTTTCAAGTTACTTGATCGTATTCACAGTCGACCACAATGTGAACTAAGACAGTATTTTGATTTGCTCAGTGAACTTTTACGTCTTACTGATTGTATTCAACCAGCTAGAATTATAGCAGTTATTGATGGATTAGTTGATCAGAAAATTCATCTAAATAAAAATGATAATAAATGGATTTGGGCACCACGTCCTAACGGAAATCGACAATTATGGGCATGGAATGAAGCAGAAATGAAAAATGATATAATTCAATCCGAGAATATAGGTAATGATGATGTTAATCAGAATATCAATAAATACGGACCTCCTGAAGTTCTTGGTCTTTTGGGTAAGTGTTAAAAATCAGTTATTTCATTCACAGATTTCTTAGTAACATGTTAGTTTTCTTTACGTTTTCTAACTTCTACAGACTTTTCAGTATTCGATTCATTAGAATAATAAGATGTTGACAGTATTCATTATTATTAGAAATTTCTGTTTTCTAACGAGTGACAAAAAAAACTAAAAATAGTTTTTATTGATATTTCGCTGTTCAGGTATTGACAATTTTATCAAAGTAACGGTAAACTAGAATTTATGAGAATCTTAGCACAGGTTTGATAACTCAATCAGAGTTCTTCTGGATAAACTAATTCTGTGATGTTGAGTAAATAAATTGATAATAACAGATAGATGTAGATTGTTACATTTGATAGTAGTTTGGATTGTAAAAAAACCATGTTTCTATGAAGAATTTTTATTGTCACGTTTGTGTTGACAGTGTTAGTTTGCAGAAGTGTGGTGTTGAAATCAGGCAAAAGTTTTTCTCCACCCCTCATTTTTATTCAAACAACGCGAATTCCATTTTATGTAAATCATTTTTGTTATAAGATATTCTTTGTGATCTTAAAAGTCTTTCTAAATGATTTCAGTATTATCAAAGTCAATTTTGTGGCCTAATATTGTAATGTCTAGATCTATGGCTAAAGAACTTCCAAATTTTTGAAGCTCTGTCGAATTTCTTGGTTGATTTCAAGAAAATGTTGTCCGATTTTTACTCATTGGGAATCTTTTTCAGAGAGTCTTATCTGACTCTTACACTACAAAATGATATCAATACTTTTGATAGTAGGAATGCTTGTATATAATTAGTTAATAACATGTCTTATCATAAGCAAAGATGGATAGTGGCTAGCAGTGGAACCCAGGACGCGCGTTTCGTCCTGTTTGGGACTCGTCGGGACTTATCAATTCCTGTCTTAAACATCAGTGGGAAGATTCAAGTAAACCAATACCAAGTGAATGTCTTACCATAGTTTCACTTTCGTCAAATCAGTAGTTTGCCTTTATAAATCTTAGGTCAAATGAACCCGTAATTATTTGTTGTGTGTGTTTTTGGAGAGATTGTATGTTGATGAATTAGTCAATTCCACCACCGGTCTTAGCGGAATGGAAGGTTTGTGTATCTCCGTTTGACCGTAGTATCTTGGGGATATATAAGATTTTGGTGTTAGTCTAAACCAAAAGTAGCTCCTTATTTTGAATTTCCGGTTCTTGAAGAGATCTGTTTTTATTGAGTTTCATCCGTTTGATTTCAGCGGATTTCTTTTGTTCACTAAGTAAATGTGGTACATTGAATAAGTGTTCAAGTCCTTCATATCATAATCAACTCTGTGCATAATCACTGTTACATCTCTTTTATCCACTTTAGTCATTACAATGTTCTGTCATTTTCCAAGTTTTAAAAGAGCTTTATGTCTCCATTTAGTGATAAAATATATGTTTTTGTCATCAAAATATGTAATATTTTTGACTAACAGTTTGTGTTTTTTTTCATAATGCTACAGCAAGTTTGATATTCGGTTCTATTTTCTGAACTATTATCCCTTTCTTCACTCATCTTCGTTTTAGAAACATTATGATGAAGTTTCTATTGTACTGTAAATCGATTCTAAATGAATATAAACGTATTAAACGTAGTAAGCTTTGATAGATATCCATCGTTACTTTTAATTCATGTTTAGTAAAATTTCAAGCTTCATCAGACTATTGTTAATATACATGATGTATGATTGGTAGCCAGAGTAACTTAACGAGAATGTTCGTTCCACAGGCTTATATTCATAAAAATATGGAAATAACTTAATGTCAGTAAAAACTTTTTTTCTCGTTTTTCAACTTATTGGAAAGTATAAAGTTTTAATAATGAATATTACTTACTCAATACCTAGTTTTTTTCTAATTTATTCATTGTGAACTTGATTTTAAGCACCTATATGTTAATAATACATCGAATGTTGTGTTACTATTTTTATAAAACAGCGGGATAAATCAATGTCTTAATTGTACAATCAGTGAAACTATCTGTTTATTGCAAAATAATTTAATCCAGGGTATCAGAGTCTTTTTCTGTTTATCCTATCATCGTATCAAATGAATGAAGCCTCTAGATTTATTTTCAACTTTTGTCTAGTCAATTTTTTCTCTAAAATATCATATTTAATCATACTTATATTCAATAGTTCTAAATTTCATTGAAACAATTTATGATCAAATTTATGTGGATCATGTAAATGATGAAATAAAGTGTTAGTGATTTAAATGCTTATGCTTATGATAAAATTATTATTTTTCTATAAAATTCAGTCAATTTTTTTCATGGTACACAGTTTAGAGTTTGTATTTTTTTTTAAAAAAATAATCAGGACATGAATTTTGGTGTCAATCAATTGACAGTAATATATAACACATAATCTAACTCGAATTTAATATCACTTTGAATTGATACATATCCTTCTCATCATAGTAATAGAATATTAGGAAAATGAACAAATCTATATAGTTAAAATAATAGTGTAGTGTGTGCTACTGATATAATTAGTATGGATCATCAACTGAAAGTGGGATGAATAACGGCAGAAGGTTGAAACAATTGAAGAGAAAAGAACGAGAACAGAGATGGATTGGTATGGAAACGAAGGAACAACAAAGTCTGAGACAATTGATGAATAATTTGAAAATGAAGTATTTACTATATGGTTCTCAGATTTGACCATGATATTCTATAATGTTGCATTAAAATACATTTAGTTGTTTCTACTTTTGTTTACGTTCGGTACAATAGTCCTAATTGAAAGTAAAACTCTGAAAACACTGAGTACAGTTCGATAATGTAATTTATCAATGCGAAAAAGTATGAAGTAATGTTATGATTTAAGAACTAAATAGTAATAAAGATTGAATGTAATATGCTACCTGTTATCATACATGACCCATGTTACTTACGACCTCAAGCAGTAATAAGTTACATAATTCTAAATCACTTCTGGAAAGTTTACAATTCCCAATATATGGTTAGTAATTTGATTTAGCTATAATGTAAATTTTTGTCTAACCTGTCTCCATTCTAGCTAACTAGTTATTATTTTTCAGAGTAGGCGTTAGTCTCTATAATTTATTTCGGTTTCTTTGTTCTTGTTTCTTTTTCGTCCACTAACTTTCTTATTTGGAAAAAAAATGTTTTTGTCCTTTCAAAATACATATTATATCATTTTTGGATTTAAAAACCAACGAGAAACTACCAAAGAATTTTTTAATGTGGTTATATAAAAATAGAATACGGTATATATATGCATATATATAGCCTATTCCGTTTATATGTTCATTCTATTTACTTGTTTAATTCTCTGACAACTATGAATATCTTTCAGTGAATGCTAGTTTGGTTCATTCGTCGTAGTGATCATTGAGAATGTGCATAGTTTGATTTGATTGTCAATTATTATTGAATTATACGTAGTTTAGTTATCAATGATACAAGATATATACTACAGTGTATAGACTAGTTTAAAACATTTTTTTAAAGATTTTAACAATTTTAAGTTGCACTGTTATTGGAATAATAAAATACCATGTGATTACACCTGAATGGATTGTATGGTGAAATATGGGTAGGACATGTGTTTTGATAGGAAATTATTTTACCAAAAACCCATATCTTGGGTTTATAACAGAAAATAACTGAAAAATGAATATTATTTGGATTTAATTCCACTCATGGAATAATATCTACTAAATAACCATTAAAAACCAAAGTCACTGAATAGATGCATTCCTTAAATATGAGACACTTCAGCATTAAACACGCACAACTCCATACACGCTCGTACCGGGTATCCTCAATTTTTAAACGGATTGCGATATCCTTGTTATTAGACTGGTATTCAGTGAAAATTATCGCCACAAAATCGTTCAGATATAAATCATAAGATTTATTTACACTAACGTTTTTTTTGCATACCTGTAACATTTGTTGTTAAATACATCCATTTACAGATGACAGAAATGGCAAACTATATGTAATCTATGATTATTAGTCACTAATGACTAGTAGTATTTCCTCGTAATGGGAATAACCTGTCAATTAAATAGATATCCATTAGAAATGATGCATTGATTAACGTCTGGTTATGGCACATAAAAAAGGACTTTTTTCATTCTTTAATTGTGCGACATGGAATATCCCGTTTAGTACTTTTCATGTTGTCGACGTTACGAAGTCCTATGTTTCGAATTCAGTGTTGACATATTTGTTTTCACATGTCGATCCCTCTTTGACGATCCTTCTGGGTTATCTATGTAATTTTTAAAATATTCACCTTTCGACTATTAGATGTCAGGTTCGATTTCAGCTCCGCTTACTTTAATCTGACCAACCAGTTATTATTGTTTACTTTTGAACAAAATTTAGCTTTAAGCCACGTAAAATGATTGCGTTTACAGTGAATGTATTTTTGTCCTATCTCTTCAATAATTCTACCTAATCTCATTATTTATTTTGTTTTGCAGAATTTTCCTTTTTCTTGGTAAACTGTCACTAATAGACAGTTTTTTTCAAATATAGCATTCATTAGATAAATTGATCTATCCTAATATTTATGCCTCTTTATATCATACTAAAAACACCGATGATTCCCTAAATATTTATTTAAATATTCTTAATATATGTTGTACACGTTATTCTATTTTTAACCTCTTTTTCCACTTATCTATTTGTTATGTATTTGGTTGTAATAAAAGTTAATCCTAGGAATCATTTGTAGGATTTTGTTTTGTATTGATCAATAACACTTAGCTTACAAGTGTAATTAGTTTTTCTAAGATCCAAAATGAAGTGTTTACAATTTACTCTCTTAAAAATCAATTTTTTTCGTTCTTCTATAGATTTAATTCATACAGACTATAATCGAGATCCTCGACGTGCTTATCAATATACCAAATTCATTGTTGAATTATCAACTCAGAATACTGCTGTATTAAAATACTTATCAAATTATCCAGAAAAATGGGAACCTATTGTAAAATGGTTAAAATCTCTTATAGAGTCTACATCAGATGAACATTTTAGTCGTAAAAATTCACTTGATTTGCCTTGCTCACATTATCTTAATGACAGCTTAGATAGTCGTAGAGATATGAGAAAAAATGAATCAGAAGGAATTTGTATTGATATTCCGACAGGTTAGTTAAATAAATATTAATTATGTGCATTTGAAAATGAAACTATTTTGCTCTTTAATTCTAACCACCATATATCATATGAAAATTAGATTTAAAATCATGCATTCAATAACAAATCAGAATTATTTCTCTTTATACCTTTTAACGAACTTAATTTTGTCTTTGAACTTCAATTTAAAATTTATTTGTCGTTTTAATTATTTGACCATAAAACCTAATTTGTACATATTATCCATATTACTAGCCGTTCGCTTAACATAACGCATATAAACATGTATCAAACCTTTTAAGGAGCGCTTGAACTGCTCTGGTGTAATAGTTAATGTTATAAATATTCCTATAAATGTTACGGATTTTTTCTGTGTACAAAATTATTTTAATGCAGTTTCTAGTTTGTTTTTTCTTCTAGTTTTATGTAGATAAAACATTATAAAGTTAATTGTTATGCAAAGTATGTTTTCGTCTATATGTGTCTACATATATCGGTTATTTACTCCATATCTTCATCTCATCAAGCAGGATTAGTGTTTGAAGAGAATTTACCTTGCCTGTATCTAGAAATTATCATTAATTTACATTAAAATTATAACTACATTAAAAGATTATTAACTATCAGAATGGGGATTTGTAGCGGTTGAAGTAATTTTAACAGTCGAGTTCATGAGACGATCTAAGCTAGACCACCACTGAAAACCTGGAAGTACTGGACGTCCACCTTGTCCTAGTATTGGACTCCCCAGCAGTGCTCATCCAGGATACTGCATTCTGGACTCGAACCCAGAACCTTCAGCCCCGCGCGCGATTACGGATCGATTGAAGTTAGACATTACCACCGTTGCATGCCGACTCAGTAGTCTAAAGGTCAAGCGTTCACGCGCAAGACTGAAGGCCCTGGGTCCGAATCCCGCGAGCGCGATCGTGGATGCGCGCTGCTGAAGAGTCCACAATAGGACGGAACGACCGTCCACTGCTTCCAGGTTTTTAATGGTGGTCTAACATCAATTGGTTCATGATCTCAATCAAAAACACTCCCTAAGAAAACTAAAAAAGCATAATGTGGGCTATCCAGTGGAATAACTTAAGATCACTTACGCCTGTTACGCCTTATGGAGGAGCATAGGCCGCTTACCAGCATTCAACTCTGTACTGAGCAATCCTTTCAAGCTGCTATTCATCCTTTTCATGTCTGTTTTCAATTCCCGACTCAGGGTATTTCTTGGCATTCCTCTTTTCCGTTTCCCTTCAGGATTCTAAGTTATCACTTGCTTTGTGATACAGTTTGGTGATTTCCGCAACGTATGTTCTATCTACCTCCAACGTTTTTCCTGATTTCCTCTTCAGATGGAAGCTGGTCTATCCTCTCCCACAGTAGGCTTTTCCTGATGGTATCCAACCAACGGACATTGAGTATCTTGCGTGGACAATTGTTTATAAATAATAATGTTTTTTTGATGATGGTTGTAGTAGTTCTCCACGTTTCAGATCCGTACATTGGAACTGTCTTGACGTTCGTATTGAAGGTTGTGACTTGGATATTGGTTGAAAGTTGTTTTGAGTTCCATATGTTCTTCAATTATAGGAATGCAGTCCTTACTTTGGCAATCCTCGTCTTTACTTTTCCATCAGATCCTCCTTGTTGACCGATGATGCTGCTGACCAGCTACACGAAACATTCCACATCTTCAGGGGCTTCTCCATCAAGTGTGTTTGGATTTCTGTTCCGTTCATTGTATTTCAGAATCTTGCTTTTTCCTTTGTGTATGTGAGGCCTACTGATGCAGAAACTGCTGCTATATTATCTTGACCTGCATTTGTTGGTGTGTATGGGATAAGAAAGCTGGGTCATCTGCGATGTCCAAATCGTATAGTTGCATCCAACCTGTCCGTTTTATTCCGTGCTTCCTGTGAGATGTGGAAGTCTTCCTGATCCAGTGAACCACCAGAAGTATGAGAAAGTAGGAGAATAGTCAGCCTTATCTTACTCTGGTTAATTATTTAAGATACTGTAACAAAATAAATCAGAATTTGTGGCAAGATAAATTTCTATGTCATTAGTCAATAATTATTATCAATTCTTCTGATTGTATATTTAATAATGAGGAAAAAAAGACAATCCAGTGAAGATTTTTTTTTCGACAACCCTATTTACTCAAGCTGTACAATCGTATGTATAGTTAAATAACAAATAAAACTAGTCCGTTGTAAAAATAAGACGTTTACATCATATCATTTGTCCAATAAATATGTTTACTAACCGAAAGATGTTGGAAAGGAATAATAAGATGAAATCAAATGTACTGTCCACTTGAGAAGTATGTGAAGTGTAAAGAGTAAATTTTAAAAAAATGAAGATAATAATAATACTATGGAGAGCAACTGGAAGGGGATCAAAGAAGCAATCACTTTAACATGCCATGAGGTCCTGGGTCACAAGAAGCACCACCACAAGGAATGGATCACTGTTGATACACTGGATAAGATTCAAGAAAGGAGGAACAAGAAGGCAGCGATCAATACCAGTGGAACAAGAGCAGAAAAAGCCAAGGCACAAGCTGAATACACAGAAGTAAACGAACAAGTAAAGAGGAGCATCAGAACCGACAAACGTAAATATGTGGAAGATTTAGCAACGGCGGCGGAAAAGGCTGCAAGAGAAGGAAACATGAGACAACTGTATGACACGACAAAGAAACTCCCTGGAAATCACCGTAAGCTGGAGCGACCAGTGAAAAGCAAGGAAGGCAAGGTAATCACCAACATTGAAGAGCAACAAAACAGGTGGGTAGAACACTTCAAAGAACTCTTGAATCGACCAAACCCACTGAACCCACCCAACATCGAAGCAGCACCCACGGACCTCTCAATCAATGTTGGCCCACCAACAATTGAAGAAATCAGCATGGCCATCAGACAAATCAAGAGTGGCAAAGCAGCAGGACCAGACAACATTCCAGCAGAGGCACTAAAAGCAGACGTAGCGGCAACTGCAAGGATACTCCACATTCTCTTCAATAAGATTTGGGATGAGGAACAAGTACCAACAGACTGGAAAGAAGGACTTCTGATCAAAATACCGAAGAAAGGAGATTTCGGCAAGTGTGATAACTACAGGGGTATCGCTCTTCTCTCAATACCGGGAAATGTCTTCAACAGGGTATTGTTAAACAGGATGAAGGACTGCGTAGACGCCCAACTTCGTGACCAACAGGCAGGATTCCGTAAGGATAGATCGTGTACAGACCAAATCACAACTCTACAGATTATTGTAGAACAATCAGTTGGATGGAATTCATCACTCTACATCAACTTCATTGACTACGAAAAGGCATTTGACAGCGTGGACAGGACAACACTATGGAAGCTTTTTCGACACTACGGCGTGCCTCAAAAGATAGTCAACGTCATACAGAATTCCTATGGTGGATTAAACTGCAAAATCGTGCATGGAGGACAATTGACAGACTCGTTCGAAGTGAAGACCGGTGTCAGGCAAGATTGCTTACTCTCACCCTTTCTCTTTCTCCTGGTGATCGACTGGATCATGAAGGCGTCAACGTCTGAAGGGAAGCATGGGATACAATGGACATCTAGGATGCAGTTGGACGATCTAGACTTCGCAGATGATCTGGCCCTTCTATTCCAAACGCAACAACAAATGCAGGAGAAGACGAACAGTGTGGCAGCAACCTCAGCAGCAGTAGGTTTCAATATACATAAAGGGAAAAGCAGGATTCTCCGATACAACACAGAATGCACCAATCCAATCACAATTGACAGGGAAGATTTGAAAGGTGTGAAAACTTTTACGTATTTGGGCAGCCTCACTGATGAACAGGGTGGATCTGATGCAGATGTGAAGGCGCGGATCGGCAAAGCAAGAGCAGCATATTTACAACCGAGGAACATCTGGAACTCAAAGCAACTGTCAACCAACACCAAGGTCAGGATTTTCAATACAATTGTCAAGACAGTTCTACTGTATGGGGCAGAAACCTGGAGAACTACGAAAGCCATCATCCAGAGAATACAGGTGTTTATTAACAGTTGTCTACGCAAAATACTTCGGATCCGTTGGCCGGACACTATTAGCAACAATCTACTGTTGGAGAGAACAAACCAGATCCCAGTGGAGGAAGAAATTAGGAAGAAGCACTGGAAGTGGATAGGACACACATTGAGGAAAGTACTCAACTGCGTCACAAGACAAGCCCTCACATGGAATCCCGAAGGCGAAAGGAAAAGAGGAAGACCAAAGAACACATTACGCCGGGAAATGGAAGTAGACATGAGAAAAATGAACAAGAATTGGATGGAACTAGAAAAGAAGGCCCAGGACAGAGTGGGTTGGGGAATGCTGGTCGGCGGCCTATGCTCCATTGGGAGTGACAGGCTTAAGTAAGTAAGTAAGTAAGTAATAATAACGAATAGTTTAAGTGAAAATGATTAAAAACATCACAAGGATGTAATAAGATAGACTTATTATTATTATTGTTATTATTGTTATCATTATTATTATTAATATTATTATTGTTATTAACATTCAGTGTATTATCTAAGCTTAAGAAACCGCGATTACATCATTATTCTTCAACGTTGCTCATAATTCTTGAAATAAATGTGGAAAATATATACACACCTCTCCCCTGTCACATCCTATTTTAATTTTATTTCCCTTTTTGTTATTTTTTGAGTAATTTGATATAATAGTTTTTTTCCAACAAAAAAAGAAGTCTTTACTGATTATTTATTCGACTTCATATTATTCATTAAACAAATAGGTTTATCAAATAGTCAAAATGTTGGTTCTCAATTATCAAATAGTTTTATTCAGGCTTCTAATGAATATGGTGAAAAACCAACTGGTTTTCAACGGACAAAATCAGCTCAGGTTAGATTATATCATACTTTTTGTATTATAATTTTTTTCTGTTTCAAACAATGGTATTACAACTGATAGGCATAATCTCAATTACAATATGTCAATGTATAAAACCTGTAAAGTTAATTCATTAACATTTCTAACCAATTATTTATGGAGTACTTCAATTGATTTGAACATTTTATTTCTTTACATCTATTATTGATCAGCAAGGATCATTAGCTCATCCTATAGTTTTTAATGAACATGTGCAAATCTAGTATAACGGGAACTGGTTTCTCATGCATTCGCTCTTGATAAATATGTTATGATTAAAATCTCTTCGAAAACCTCAATCTAATGGAAGGTTATGAAAAATAGTTTAGTGTTCACTGTGCATATCATTCACCTATAAATTTTTAAACTACATGTCTGGAATGTCATGGCTAACTGATTTTTCTTCTAAACATTTTCATATCAAAATTACAACCAATGATATCTACTTGCTTTTAAGATTACTACATGAAATACACTTTTTGCGTATCAAGCGTTAGTTTAGTGGTTGAGCTCAACTTTAAGTCAATATTACCCCGTTTTCAAAACTCATTCCACTTACTGCAATCTGAATTAAAGGGAAATATAAATAGCTGTGATATGTGCGATATATCTTAAAGCCTATTCGCTTTTCGGTTATTGGGTTGAGTTAATTCATACTTAAAACCATAGGTCGCTGACTGATAAATCCAATCATTTTGATTTATATTACGAGTAAATTAACTTTGAACGTTACAAATATTTCTGTGTCTGTATATCACAATAGTAAAAATTACAGGCATATAATATCAGAACAAACGCTTTTGAATGTGATATACGTTCAACTATCTATGCACGAATGTACTTATGTTAAACCTCAAATGTATAAGTGCAGCTTCATTTTTACCTTATTAGGTTTTGTGGATAGTTCTTTTAATGGATCGTTTTCATTTATTGTACAAGTCAAAATCAAGTAGAAGGTGAAACATAAAGATCTTTTGGGTCTTAAATGCGTGCTTTTCAAGAGACTTTTAGGTTCTTAATTATCGTCTATTTTTGAACAATTTATTATGTAAACCTTATAAATAATTATCATGTCATTTTTATCTTTTTATTTTTAATCACAACAGAAAACACTAAGTGAAGCAACTCGTTTACTTTTTTCTATGCCACGACCTCAGCATATGAGTAGTGATAATCCAGAACTAGAACCTACTGGTTTATCATCACCACTAACATCATTAATGATGACACCATTAATTAGTAATCGTAATGATGATGATGAAGATGGCGATAACGATGGTAATAGTCAGCAAAATGACAATCTTTTTCTTAAACTGTCTACCTAAATCTATCCTTCTCTTTTCCATTTATTTCCTGTTACATTGCTTTCAAATCTACCATTTCTTATGATGTATCATTTAAATTGACTACGTAATCTAGTATGCTTGTATATGTAATTTTTACATGTGTGCTTGTGTTGTATGCATAGAAACGTTTAAAACATTATATAAGAATATTACAATTCATAAAGTTATTTGTCTCATTTATATATTTCCTCATTGATTTAACCACTATTTTTTAATTATACAATAACTATTCAATAAAATCTCTTGTCATTATGTGATTTATTTTCAGCCTATTTTCATTTCTTTTCTTTTCTAAATGTAAATACAACATAGAATAGCATGCTAATCACAGTTCATTTTCTCATTTATATTGTTTTTTTTGACAATTATCATTAATAAAGTTAAAATCTTGACTTTTTAACATAAAATATTGCATATTTTGTATAAAAATAATTAATGAATAATAAGAAGATAAGAAAACTTATAATGTACTGCTTATTCAATAGAGATCCCTATCAATAATCCATGTCTGTAGTCTAGTCATTTTATTTTGTCTTATTCCCTAATTGATATTCTCATACTAACCCTTTCACATGTCCTACCCAATATATATATATATATATATATATATAGACAATGTATTTTGTTTACCTGTGCAAAAGATTAAATTATTGATCTGTTTGTGATTTTCCCTAAGTTATTTACTACTTATTTAGTTTATTAACTCATTTGTCACTTTTAAAAAAAGAACACAATCATAATCAACTTGAGGAACATGATGATTTATTAATTTAGAAAATATTTTTTTCATATTCCAACTATTTATTTATCATAACTAATCAAAATACACAATGATCTTCTGTTTTACATACTACTATATATTTCTCCTTTAGAATTCCTATACATATATATATATGTCTTTTCCTGTCATTTAAATTTCATTTGTTAGCTGTATGTCATTTCTAAATAGATTTTATAAAAACTTAGTAGTGGGTAAGAATTGGTTGGGTTTGAAATTATCTTTAGCTTTGTAGGATATGACGTTGTTACTTGTGAATTCAGTCAAAATTATGTCTTCAGATTTCAGTTAAGATGACTAGAAGAGATTCATCAAAATACCGTGTTCTTTTTTTTTTAAAGACGAATTAGTTTCTAGCTGAAATGTATCAATAATATATTTATTCATGATAATTTCTGTAAAGAAGTTGATATTCACAGAAGATCTGAAGACAATTACCAGTTTATTTGCAGTTTTATAAAACTATTAAACACTATATCAATGTAAACGTTTAGAAAGGTACGCTCACTTAAACATTCAAGTTTCATTATGAAGTTTGATTAGAAAAGGATTCTGATGATGATGTCCAGATGATTTTTTCAATAGGAAGGATGCATTTTCTCAAGAGTTTTTATCATCCCGTTATTGACATCTGGACTCAGTAGCTTAATGTATAACGTTATTTTTTTTTTGAAATATATACGAAATTGGAGGCCCATTGAGAGTTTCAACAGCTGGATACACATCCATTCAGCTAACCCATGATACATAGGAATAAATTCACGTCTCGAATTGAACTGTTAGCCACAATTTAAATATATTATAGCCTGGCACTGAAAAGCCTTATCAATCCCTCTGATCACTCATGAATATTAATAACGTAATAATACCAAAGCCTTACGAATACAATCATGCATAATTCTTCATAAAGCATAAGTTAGCCATTTTACCTATGTATGCATCATATGGATGAACGGTTGTCTCCATATCATTTATGTATTTACTTTTACAATCACATCATTGTGTAACAAATTTCTTTTTAGTTTCAAGAATATCTGAAGTTCCATTGTTGCTTACCTACTTTAAACGTGGTTAACATACTACTGGATTTAACCTAAATAAACTTATAGTTGGCGGAATAGATAATTTCCTAGTGGATTAAAACTCGTTAGGAAGGTGATTAGACGAATTCGTTAGTGAGAGACTTAAAATAATATTCGTAACTGATAACTTCTTCTGGTAGATGTTGACGTTTCCTAAACACTATAAACTTTACGAAATTAAAAAAAAAACCAGATGCTTATTTATTGGTAATAAAAGCGAAATTATTAAAAATCAATTTTCAGGACACTCAAGTATTTGTCGTTTTTAAAAAAAAAACAACTTATAAAACCGATCGTATTCTACTTGACAATTAAGAGTTGCTTTTTGATCCATTACGACAGTCAAATGTATATTTCATTCTCGAATTCTCGCGAACATAATCTTAGAAATTTATTACATTGAAACACTTTTTGACCGTTATTTCTAACATCTTTTCCTTGATTTCTGATCTGTTTACAAATAAAAATGTACTACTAATACTACTACTGTCTTATGATATTTATGTACTTTATCTGATAAACAAAACGAAATTAAAAGGCTACCATATTACGTGTGATACGCTAGTTAGTATTTTTTATAAAAAAAACGTTTACGTGTAAACATAACCTTCAGAAAACTTTTAAACTGTTTATCTAATACAATCTTAAAATAACGAGAACATAACTAACGGTAGCTGCATCATTTTGAATATAAATTAATGATTACACTACAATTAATAATATTATTGATAATAATAACTCCATTTTATTTCTAATCGTCTTGGAGACTAGTGTATTCATATAATATACTATTAAATACCAAGTAAGAATATGGAATTTTTAAATGTCTAACAATAAATAATTCAACTTCGTGATTACAACTAGTCATTAACTGATAACATCAGTATAGTGATTAAGAAATTCATATTTCATTATAGAATTAGGTTTCTGTTACTTATTCAAAGTTCATATTATTATAAAATACATTAAACGCGGCAACAAGCTGGTCAACAATACGTAAGAATCAAGTTCGTGTATCTGCGTAGTTGTGTGAGTATTGGTTGTGGCGTGACAGATGAAATTACCCTACGTATAGGGTCATCTTTGTTACGGTCGTGATGTTAGCCTGACTGTAAAATTTCATATAATTTTGAACCAGTGATTGCTAAACCTTTGGTCTGTAACGCGTCAGTGAGAGAACTCCTGTTATGTTCTTGTGGTGTCTGGTCATCGTTTTATAACATCCAGTGGCGATGTCATATTATTAACTCTTAGTATCAGCAACGTATGTTCAGTAGAAATGATGGTAATTTAGTTAAACATCATACTGCGTCACCGATGTCGGTGGCTTCAACATGTTTTACGAACTTCATCGAACCGACTTTCACAATGCTAATTATTTAATAATATTGGGACTGGTTGAAAAAAACGGAAAAGTGGTCAGTTTATAACATGGTACCGTGGTATGGAAAAATGCTGTTTAGTACTGGTGTCTGTTGGTCCATTATCACTCTGGTTGATTTCCCATAGATGGTACAAATCGGAAACTTTAGATGTCACCAAACATAGGTTAGAATAGAAGACATTGATGATCATACTGTAGTTGTTTCTTACATTCTTCACAAAAATCAAATAAGATTCCGTAATTAAAATAAATCTTTCTTGATTATAGTTTTAATAAAATTTTATTACTCACTATATACCAATCTTTTTTATTCATGTATTTCGCTTCTCTCCCTCAATTTTTTATAACACTTTTTGTTTATATTTTGTGGAACGTACTATTTTTGGTGCCCAGTTGTAACGAATTTTATGTGAATTAGATAGTTAAAATACATAAATCAATTGTTTATTGATACTACCGACCAGAATGGGACGGTAAACCTAACTTGATAAATAGTTTATCATCAACTTTCAAATACAAATTTACAATTACCTCTTAATTTGAAAAAAACTTGAAACCTCCAGTGAATTAACCAATTATTACTTTCATCATTTATTATGTTCAATTAAAAATTCAAAAGTTACTAAACCGTTTGAATTGTTTCTCAGGATACGTTGAACTGACAAGATATTTCAGTTTGATTAAGATCAGTTCTTTATTTGGTATGATCCTTTGAATATCTTCAAGTAAACAACTTATTCTCAATATTTTGAGACTGTCTATTATTTTTTACATTGATTTCTATGTATTTTAAAATAATTGTTATAAGCTTTAGTCGTAATTGCTAAACTCTACCTGTTCTTATAGTTTCATTGATTATGAATAAAGTACTTTCTCCTTTGTATACTGATTATTATTTTATTGATTGATTAATCAGCGTTTATATTCCGATTATTAGTCCACATTATGCTCGCTGTTTGTTTTAATCAATACATACTTTAATTTTAATAAGGCAAAGTATTGTACAATAGAAATATGTTTCCTTGTATTATATTGCTAGAAAACAGTTCTGAATATTGATGACTGATTCTCTTATGCAGGTGATTTCTAAATTTAATTCCCTTCATATGAATAGTTTTGAAACAATCAAAATGGTAATCTTAAAGATGATTTTCCTTATTATAAACTATTGTGGTGGTATAAAATAGTCATACCCCGACCGAAGCTGCTACCTTGACGCGGTGGTCGGGCTTGCCTATCGTGATGACCCAACCGAGCTATATTGGCTGGAACATATGTTTCTGTAGGTTCTACCATGCCAGGCAGGTCGATTGGAGAATGGTAAGACTCAAAGCAGCAACTCAAGGTCTGAGGACGAAGTCGTACTGCTGACTGTACAGAGGTGTGACAGCAGTAAGGTGTTTCCCTCGGACATCCAGCATGACAGCGATGCTGCCTTCCCACAAGGAGGGGTGGGGTTAGAGAAGGTCGATCTTAAAAATGTCACACCTCACCTTACCTCACGGATTTCCGTCTCCGGCGGTAAGGCCCTTTGAAGAACGGAGCTAACACGTCGAAAACCTTCCACGAAAAGGCCGTGCGCGACCGGCCTCAAGCAGTTGTCCCTTGGGCTCTGCGGTCACGCTCTCAGGTCGTCAAGACCAACACTAATCCAATTTCCTTTTCAGGTTCCTCAAGAAATACCCTTCCACGGTGTGGGCAGCCGGGAAGTGATATCAGCCCTCATACCCGTGACAGCACCAGAGACCAAGTTGGTCACATTCAAATCCTTCCTACACCTCCTAATACCTCTCTTATCTCCATGACTAACCCTCCTCACATCTCTTTATCACCTCGCACCGCTAGGGCAAACGATTCGAGCACGCGGAACGCTTTTCCTGGTCTCCTGAAACCACGCTCTAAACTACATGTAGGAGCTTTTAACGTCCAAACACTGGGCCAAATAGGACAGCAGGCTTCTTTAGCTATGACTTTAGAATCCCGCCCCATCGATGTGTGCTGCGTCTCCGAAACGCGCATATAGGATCCGAGTAGCGTCATTCATTTGACCTCACCATGCCAAAATAAAGAACCGACTCGATTTGCGCTTCGTGTATCTGGAAGCCCTGATTCTGCTTCCCGTGGCCTCGCCGGCGTAGGTATAGCATTGAGTCCTAGGGCAGAACTAGCCCTCTTAGAGTGGATCCCAGTAGACATTCGTTTGTGTGCTGTCCGACTAAACGGAATAATAAGGACTCGGAAAGATAGGGACACTCGTCGTTGCATCTTCGTCGTCTCTACCTACTCTCTCACTGACTGCAGCTCAGATGATGTAAAATATGAGTTTTACAGAAAGCTCTCCGACCTTTTCCGAAAAGCTAGGCGCTCGGATGTAGTAATAATGGCCGGTGACTTTAATGCTCAAGTAGGTAAACTAAGCGATAGGGAAAGACACCTAGGTGGATCTTATGGTGTCGTGGCTCAAAGAACAGATAATGGCGACCGTCTGTTGCAGCTTTGCTCAGATAACTGCCTGTTCCTTGCAAACACTAACTTTAAGCATAAGGAAAAACATCTTTTAACATGGCGATCCCCTAATTCGTCCCAACGTTGGACCCAAATAGATCACATCGCTATCAGCCACCGATGGAGGGGCTCGATAGAAGACTGTCGCTCATTCTGGAGTACATGCCTAGATCCAGATCATGCTCTAGTGCGAGCGCGTATTTGCCTGCGTCTTACTGTACGT